CTGGCATGTAGCCAGTGCTTTGCGAATGGCAGTGGCTAAGTATCCTCCATCTCACTAGTGTAGTCTTAGTTCTTCATTGTGCTGTCTGTTGGTGGAGCCCCAGGCCACCACCCAAGCTCCACTTCCCGCCGCACACCTGGAGTTTTCACCCAGTGCTATGTGAGTTCAACAAAAAGAGGCTTTCTTAGATGTGTACTAAAGTGTAAAACGGTGAACTTAGTGGACACCACGTACTATTCTAGCTCATGCAAAAATTTAAAACATCTCTATGAATGGTTGTTAATAATTAATCCTCATTAGTTAATCATTAATTATTAGCCATTTGGTGAAGATAATGATGTTGAATAATACAGAAGAAAGTGGAGCCCAGAGAGCTTAGGCAGCTATCCTAAGGCTACAGAACTGGTGAGCATCAACACTGGGGTGTGAGCCTGGGTGGTCTGCGTCTTAAGTAAACACTATGTTATGCCCTTCACTGACCTTTCCACCCATGCTGTGCTGTCCCTGTAAGCACCTGTTGTGGACAGTGTTGGGGGTGGGGGAGCTCCTGGAGGTGGGCAGAGGCAGATGTGGCCGGAGTAGAGTGGGGGTGGGAGAGTGGTGGAGCTGAACCCTGAGAGGTCACGGGGCAGTGATGGGCAGAAGGGGCACCTGTGCCAAGTGATCTGTTCCAGGGACAGGAACATAACAGGTACAGGTGTTTGCTCCAGACTAGGGGAGTGAGCATGTTAGGTGGTGGTGAGTGCATGGAGCACAATGAGGCCTGTGGAGAGTGAGGAGTGCAGAGGGAACAGCGTACACCAGGGTCCTGAGGCAGTGGTTTGCCAGCTCTTTAGGAGAGGAAGAAAGCCAGCGTGTCCAGAACAGAGTGTGAGAGGCAGACAGTGGTAGACAGAGAGGAAGCATGAGGCAGAATGTGTGGGCCCTGCAGTCATAATGGCACCTGGACTTACTAGGGGCTGTAAAGGTCACCAAAGCGCTTTGAGCTGAGAGGTGATGGGCTTCTTCTGCATTGTAAGATCTCTCAGGCTGCTAGTGTCCAGAGGCTGGCCTTGGGGGACATCTGGGCCCTTCTGATCAAGGAAGACCTAGTGAAAATGTTTTCACCCAGCCAGGTTCATCTTCCCACTGCCCAAGAGGAAGCTACCACACGGAGACAGCCAGTTTCTGGTAGAGAAGGGTTTATTCTGCATAGTGCCGAGTGGGGTCTGGGGGGGAATTGCTCAAATCTGCCTTCCTGAGAACTTGCAGCTCAAGTAGATTTTTAAAGACACTTTAGTGGGCAGAGGGCACTCAGGGGCTGTAGTTAGCTGAGCTGTTGGTAGGGGTTGCTGGCCTGGGCGGGCCCACTGTCCCACTGGAATGTAGGATCTGGGAGATATTTCAAAAACGACCCCTGGGTTTCTAAAAGGTGGCCTTATCTATGGAGAAAGCTAAGAAGCTTTATGACTACCTGCATTGCGACTCCAAAGTAGCAATTATGGGCTGTGACTCTTGCCTTGTACCTTTTATTAATTTGTTAGGGTGGTTCAAACAGCAGCAGCATACTCAGGAGAGATGGTACCCCTCAAAGGGCTGAAGAGCAATGACGTGCTCCCCCACTGTCTCCCCTCCCTGTGGGGTATGGTCCACGTCTGTGAGCCAGCTTCTGGGCAGATTCTGGAGGTTTTTCAGGAACTGGTGGAGTCCTCATGGCCTGTCTGGGTGAGAATGGAGGCCTTCCAGCCCCATGCTGCTCCCCGCCTGGGGGCCTGTCCACCTGTAGCCTCGAAGAGTGCCCTGCCTCCTGCTATGGGTCTCTGCTCCAGAGCCATCTTCTGGGCCACCTGGTCTAAAATGCTGGCCTCTGGCACCACCCCCACCTCATCCTGTGCCTTGTGTGTGTTCACAGCACTTTGGACCGCTGGGCGTGCTGCATGCTTTTCAACATCCCCGGCTCTCCCAATCATCGCTTCAAGGGAACTGGGTTTGTTTCATTTTTGTTTCTGTTTTGTGTTGCTCTTGCCTGCAGAACCCAGCGTGGTGACTGGCACAGAATAAGCAGTTGGTAAACGTGTGTTGAATGGGTGAAGGAGCAAGGTTACTCTCATCACAGCAGTAGACTGAATTTCATCTTTGTGTTCTGGTGGACCCAGTATGAGGCTACATGAAACAGCTGTTCTTATAAATCAAAATGGTTGAATATCAACCTAGAGCTTTAATCCAACATTCACTATTACCTCTGACTTGTCTCATTCCTCTTTCTTGACTATCTGCTCCCAAGGCTGGGATATCCATTCCTGAAGGCAGAGTCTTTTTCAATGTGCCCAGCTTCTTGGGACCTTGTAAGCACTCAGTGAATGGTGGTCAAATGTCCTGTTTCCTGCCCTGTCCTCTCCCAGAGCCCAGGGCTTGACTCTTACCTACTTACCTCTGATGGGTCACCTCCCATCTGGAGTAACCATCAGGACAACTGATGATGAGGACCAGAGCCCTGGGACATACAAGGCTGTTAACAGTGACCCACTGTAGATCCCAGGGCCACAGCACAAGGAACAAATGAACAAATAGATGGAAGAGAAACATGCCAGCCTAGAACTAGAATCTCCTCACAAAGGCTCTGTGTTCCTCAGAATAAGCAGTTTTCATGAGCTCTGGGGCCCTCATGAGAGAACCTGACTCTGGAGAAGTCACAGTCCCTGAGTCAGTGGACCACGGCTGGGGAACGTTCATTCCCAAAGCCCCTCTGAGGAGTGCAGGGGCTGCCTGACATCCTCAGGGCCTCTGTGGGTCTGTGTGCCTTGGTTGCATGTCTCTATCCTCCCCAAAATGCCCTGTGAGATGTGCTGCTGGTTCATAAAACCACAGTGAGTTGATGGTGGGTGCAGGGGACTCGAGCTGTTGTGAAGAGAGAAACTGCCAGCCCCAGATTGCTGGACCCAAACTGCTCAGTGGGACCAGGAGAACAACATACCTGGATCTCCGGAAGCCTGCCTGGCTCATGGCCAGCACTCTTTCTAGCAGAGGTGGACACCAGGCAATGACTGAGTGCCCTTTCTTTACCTTTCGCTCCATGACAGGGGCGAACCATCTATTCAGTCTCAATGGGAACAGGTTATGGCAGTTGACCAAGACACCCATGTTTTATGGGGTTTTGTTCATATTTTGGGGGGTTCTAATTTCCCAGGATCTCAGATTCTTATGATAGTTTCCATAGCAACAGCAAAACCACCACTTGTCTGTTGAGATGCAGGGTAATCACAGCTTCTGAGTTAGCTGGGAGCCTCTTTGGGAGATATAGAGGGGGCTGGGGGGCACCCTTGCAGGATATCACCATGCCTGGAATGCAGGGCAGAAGGAGATTTAACTTCTTCCTTAACACACAACTGTCTACTTTGCAAAATGAAGAACAGACACCTTCCCCATCCTCAATAAAAATGACTCAGCTCTAAGATATTTTCCAGAAGAAAGGAGATTTTGGAGGTGTGGGTGGGGTGTCCGTGGGGAAATGGTGAGAATGGCAAGTGTATTTGCCTCTCTGCCCTCCTCCCACAGGGCTCTCCCTTCCCAGCCAGGGTCCCTCCACAGCTTTGCCCTCCTGCTTCATGCCTATTCAGGGCTCCTTCTGGCTCAAGTGTGAATTGGTAACAGCCTCAGGCAACAATGTCATCGGCTTTCCCATGGATGTGAGTGTCCTGCCTCGTGATGTGTGAAGGCTACAATCCTTTAAGATTCTGAAACTAACTAAAAATATATAAAAGACTACACATCAATAGAACTGTAAAATGATGAATCAATAAAAATAAATCACCAACCAGAAGGAAGGGGTGTTGGGACACCCCCCTCCCCCATGCGGAGACTGCTCCTTTGTGATGTGGGTCATCTTTGCAGCTCTCTGATGTGGGTGACATGGGCCTTTGTGTACTGGAGGCCACATGCCCCTTGGAAGGGAGCAGCCCCCATTGCTTCCCTTAGTCATGGCTGAACCTTCCCATTTTCAAAGGAATCTGGACTTTTATGTAAAAGATACAAATTTTTAAATGTTGACCACAAAGTCACCATTTAGTAAAACGTTACAAGAAAATGACAACGAAATTCAACCATTTTGCTCATGGACTTCTGGTGCTGCCGGTCGGGCACCGTGGGACGTTTCCCTGGGTGGTTCCCAGTGTGAGCACCAGTCGGGGGCTTGGCTGCTGCCTGCCATGTACTTTCTCACGTGTTTCCTTGTGCGGCTGCCCTGAGGTCTGCGGTGGGTTGCTGTTAACAGCCTCATAGGTCCCAGGCTTCTTGTCCTCATTGTTGCTGGTCCTGATGATGATTCTGGGTGGGTGGGGACCCAACAGAGATGAGTAGGTGACAGTTGAGCCCTGAGCTCTGGGAGAGGACATAGCAGGGACCATAGCCCTTTCACACTGCTCTAGGAAACAGGCCAGTGGGGACCTCCCAAAGACCTTCCCAGGAGGGTAAATGAAGGAGCGTGTGGACTTGGGCTGAGCATGTGGGTCCCTAGAACCAGCAGTAGGGGCTAGAACACAGATTCTGAAGCTCCAACAGTGTCTGTTCCCCAGCCTGTAATGGGCAAGGATGACTTCTCTGTGCCTTAGTTTCTCCCTTCCCAGCCTGGAGCTCGGTAGTCTTTTCGTCCTATGGTTGATCCGAGGATTATGACTTGGGTGTGGTATGAGACACGTAGGAGAAGATCCATAAACCTCAGCTGCTATTTGCAAAAGACCTGGGTCAAAATGGAAAAAGTTCTTCAAAACAAGGGAAAAGAGGGAGTTCACTGTTTTAGGAGAGCCTTGAACTCTGCACAGTGTGAGAAGGACCAACAAGACCTGAAGACCTGCTGGCCTCAGAGTCCCTGCCCGCCACCCCCTACCTGTTGACTTTGCTATTCCCTGGCAAGGCTGAGACTAGCAGAGACCCCTGGGCTGGGTGAAGTTGGTCTGCCCCAGTGTGGATGCATACCCCGGGGGTAGTGACCAAGCTCAGCCAGACTTTCCTTGTCCCCACAGCACATGCGAGAGGCCGCTGAACGGCGGCAGCAGCTGGAAGCAGAGCATGAGCAGGCCCTGGCTGTCCTCAGCGCCAAACAGCGGGAAATCGACCTTCTGCAGAAGGTGAGTGCAGTGGGCTGGGGCAGGGCATGGGGGGCACACAGGAGGGGTGGGCGGGGACAGCCCACCCACAGCCTGGGCTCCCAGGCTGGAGAGCCCCTCCTGCACAGAAAGGTTTGGTCATTTTTGCTCTTCTGTGTGCTCTGGGTTTTCTGAAGTTTCCATGTTCACATTCCGTAATGCAAAAACAAAAGGAGCTCTAATATCTGGTGCTTGTAAGGTGGTAGGGGAAAGGATGCTCTTGTAGTTTGCTAGTGGAGGTGTGAATTATCTCAGCTAATATTTGGGCGGAAGTAAAATGCAGCATCGATTAAAACTAGGGGTTGTAGGGGAAAGGACGCTCTTACAGTTTGCTAGCAGAGGTGTGAATTAGCTACTTGGGGGGCAGTAAAATGCAGCATTGATTAAAACTAAAAATGCATGTAGATGCTGACCCTCCAACTCCCATCCTGAGACTGCCCTGCAAGAAATTCAGGAACACATTCCAGTGGGGGGATTGTTATTGTTCTCAGTAATGCTGCATGAGAGAAGGGGATAGGAAATTACACGTCACCAGCCAAGTGATGGTTGTATACATCATGGCACCTCCACACCGTGGGCCCCTCTGATATCAGTGAAGGGAGTCATTGTGCCTTACCCTGCCATCTGGAGGCTGTTTACACGATGAGTTATTAAGTGAGCAAATCTCACTGCAGAGCAGTATATATAGCATGATTCCATTGCCAAAGGAAAGGGGGGAGAAAGGACAGAGAAAGAAGAGAGAAAGGCGAGAAGCCAAGAGAGTCCCAGGGACAAAGACTGGGTGGTTTAGAGTATACCTGCTTGGCACCTGCCACCTGCCACCTGCTGGGGGTGGGAAAGTTAACTGTGTCCCCACTTCAGTCCTCAGCCAGGTCCTGCTGTCTCTCCTGTAATGGCAGCAAGGTCCATCTTTTAGAGCTAAAGGGAGTTGGGATACCTCCACTGAGAAATCGGAACATAGTGACTGTGACTGGTTCTCTGGTTTCCTTCCAAAGCCTGGTGTCACAGCCCTGCCCACCCTTCCCCTGGTCTGCGGCTTCCCAGCCTGGAACTGGCTGGGGTGGACATCAGGTGACTTCTCTGCCTTCTGTGCCCCCCCTTCCCCCATCTGATAGTCTCTTCAGGTCTTGAATCTTAAAATAAAAGACTCGTAATCACTTGCCCGAGCTGGGTGGTGATAACAATCTGTCAGAGTGGCTTTTCTCTTCCAGTTTATTAGCAGAGCTTGTCCCAGCAGGTAGATAACTTCTGATGCTGTTCCTCTAATCATTTAGCATGAGATCTCTGTAAAGATAGATTTCATTAAGCCAGTGCTGGTGGGACAGGCACAGTCCTTATTGCCTGTCACAATGGGTTGGCAGGCCCCCTGAGAAGCAGTGTTTCAGTAGATGTTATCGGGAAGGATATTGCGGGAGTGCAGGCAGTAATATTGCTCTCATCTCCCGGCTGCCCCCAAAGGACCTTTGCCACGGCTGGAGGTGCTGGGACCGTATCTGTGCTAGCTCAGTGCAGCCCTGGAAGCCACATCTCCAGGCTGGGACTGTCTGAGCCAGATAACCAGTCTGCAGGGACACAAATATCATCTGTGAGGGTGACAGGCTCCTCTTAGCAGAACATTCTCCAGGAGCCCAGAGTTCTATTTCCTAAGCTCGTGACACCAGAGGATGAATGGGACCAGCTCTGTTATTCAGCTCCCCAGTCGCTTCTCTGTGTTACCCGATTTCCTTTGCTCTTTCCCTTGCACACGAATCACTGTCTCTGCTTTAAGAATGAGGGGAGCAGAGGAAGGGAAGTTGGACAATGTGTCCACTTTGTAATTTCTTAGAAGGTCTGACTTTTTAGAAAAGTGTGAGAAGAGGAAGGTTGAACCTGGAGTGGAAGGAGGTTGGCAGATTCTTTGCAGTTTGTCCTGCCTGGTGTCCAGCGTGGGTGGCAAGTCCCTCATTGTTCATTCAGCAAGCTCTGGCCACCTGCCCCTAAGTCAGCTGCTTGGCCGTTGTTCTAGAAAGTGGGACAAGTGGGTCAGCCTGGGATCTGCCCCATGGGAGCAGAAAGAAATGAAAGACTGAAAGTGTGCGCCAAGAGCCGCGAGGGAAGTAAATAGTATGGAGTAGGAGGTTGGCCCTTTAGAGAAGGGGAAGGTTTACGAGAGGAGAGGGTGTCCACCATGTCAGGAGCCAGGTGAGTGCATGTGGAGAGCAGGGAGCAGTGAATGCAGAGTCCTTGACGGGTGGGAATCAGCTCAGTGCGTGAGAGAAAGAGGAATCAGGCAGGACGTCAGGTACAGGCATTGAGGGGGAGGGTTTGACTCCAGAACTCAGGCACAGGGCAGAGCGTGTAACCCACCAGGCAGTCATGCCTCTGCCCTAGGGCCAGGGACCACCTAAGATCTCCTTGCCTCCCTCTCAACAGAAAACTCATCAATTGTCTTTTGCACTATCCGAGGTTCAAACATGTTTCCCATGGGGGAGTATTGTGGAGCTACCCCGATGAACCCTGCGTCCTGTCCACAGCCCAGGTCTTTCTAGTGTCCACTCTGTGGGCCACCCACTCTCGTCACATGGGTGACACGCCATGTGTGGGCCACGTGCCATGCTCATTCTCTGTGCTCATTTTCTTCCACCCAGAGGCCCAGTTTGCAATTGTCATCTCCCAGGACACCACTCTGTCCTGGTTTTCCTCCTATACACAGACCCCTCTGCACGTCCTGGGCCAGCAACCCCAAGAGTCAGTCCTCAGCTGTGTCCCTTCTCAGTCCACACTCACTGTATGGGCAATCTTGGCTTATCCGAGGGTTTGGACATGGCCGTTGTATGGCAGCACCCGAACTTGGGTCTCCAGTCAGCTGCCGCCTCTGAATCACAGTTCTCGTATTCAAGCTGGGCTCTTCATGGCCTCTAGGATGCTCTGGAACACCACATCCCAAAGCAAAGCCCTGCACCCCACCAGTACCCGTTCTTCCCCTCAAGTCCTCCAAACTCTGCAGACGGCAGCATTTCTTGGGTTGTACAACTTTTTCTTTTCCTTGGAGTTAATTGTCTCTGTTTGCCTGGTTCTCTGTGTGCTCCTCTATTCCGGAGGTCCTTGTGGGAACTGGAAAATTCCTCTTGGGAAGGCCTGAGTGCTTCAGGGAACTAGTCATCCCATTTTCCCTGGGGAGACTCCTGCCTGACCCCTGGCCACGGCCTGCCATCCTGGCTGCTCCCAAGGACAGACACAGAGCTGGGTCCTGGGAATTCCCTCTGCACCTCCCGGGGCTTTGTCTGATCCTTTGCTTCCAAGATTCCACAATCTCCCTTTTCTTGACATGCAGTATGTGGCATGAGCAGGAGTGTGTTTTCCTGGAAAGATGGGTGGATCCTGCCACCTTACAGGACTTGGCCATTCCCTGGTGGCATCAGGACAGAGGGGACCCTTGAGTCCCAGGTACTCTGCTGCTTCAGACTTCCTGTTCCTCAAGCGGGTATGTCCTTGTCCTGTGACAAGCAGCAGTTATGATAATCCAGTGGTGTGAGCCAAAGAGTTTTCCTGTATTTAAAATTCATCTGCAGATCTGACCATTTTACTGTGGCTGAGAATTCCTCCCATTTGTGACATGATTGCTTTCAGTTTTAAGGCTATTACTGGAATGCGTGATGGATGCTAAGAGAAGCTGGATTGGCCATGACACGTGTAATTGATGCTGTAGTCGATTTCATGTGTTCCCCTCGACATGTTGGCTTTAATTACTGTGTGGATGGTTGGGAGGGAAGGGTCATAGATGGGCCCTCTGTGTCAGTTCTGAGTCAGATCCACCTGTCATGTACTGTGTCTACTCAGTAGCTTCCTTGCTCTGCGAGTGCCAGGCTCTAGAGTCCTCTCCGCCTGAACACAGTTCACATCCCACTCACTTCTCCGCGGAGCTGACAGTAAATAGTACCAGCCACTACTCTTGCTCTCTGCCATCCTGACTATGATGCTTCTGAGTGTCATGTGCTGGGTCCCAGCCAGCCAGAGGCCCAGGACTTTATCATTAGGAGACCTGCTATCCCCGGTGTGACACCACCCTTGGTGACCCACCACCACGGATGTTCTGGCATTGAGAGGGGCGTGGGCACCGTGACAGAGTGGCTTCTCTTGAGTTTCTTTGTTCTGCAGGAAGTTGCATCTGAAGGAAGGTCAAGCTTTCTCACAAATTGGCAGTAGCCCCTGAAATGAGCCTCGCTGAAGCCGCTGCTTAGATTTTGTAGGAATTCAGCACTGCCAGTTTTAACTGTTAATTTTAACAATCTATTCTGATTGCCCAAATGGCCCAGCTTGCAAGCAGCCTGCAAAAACGAACTCCTGATTTTCATCCAAAGCCAGAAACTAAGTTGTTACCGCCAGCTTGGCTGAGCTTTAGCAGCCTGCCGTGAAGTTTTTTGTTGTTTTTTAATCCTGCCAGTTGAAAACTATCTTTGCTTCAACTGACTCAATGGTGGCATTATTTATATAATCCCTGTATGTTCTCTGCCTGTTTGTCTCTTTTTCTATTTTGTTATTTATTGTTGCTCTCGGTGTTTTTGCTTTGAAAGGAATAATTTTAAGCATTCGACAATTGAGCCGAATTCAAGAATGGTGTAATTAATGTGCTGTGTTCTATTCACTTGCCCAGCTCTTAAAAACCTCATTGGAAGTATGTGAGAATGAAATGCATATGAATGAACTCTATAGAAATCTTAGACTGCTTTTCATTTTGAGTCTGTGCTGGGGAAGCCAAGCTCTTCCTTCTTTCCAACTCATGGAATTTTGTGAGCAAGAAGTGAAAAGCTGTTAAGATAATGTTCAGTTGCTTATGATGCTGAATGGCCCATCACTAATAATCCCTGAGGCACCTGGAAAAAATACTTGTCTAGAAACTGGGAATTCTGAATGTGAGTCTCAATGCAAAAATGGATTCCTCATTAGAGCTCAGTATTTTACGAGGTAGGTGCACCAAGGCATCAGGAAATAATCCTCCTTAAAAAGCAGGTGTTTTCCTGCTTCATTGGTAATGTCCGTGAGATCCTCAACCCAGTTTAATGGATGCACAACATGGCAGTGCAGTACAGGCCACAGCTGGAGACACCTTTTCCCCATTGTCTAAGGCACAACATGTTTCTCCAACTTTAAAATGGGGAGCCTCACATTCTTTTTCTTTCTCTTTCTTTTTTTTTTTTTTGCAGTTTTTGGCTGGGGCTGGGTTTGAACCTGCCACTTCCAGCATATGGGGCTGGCGCCCTACTCCTTTGAGCCCACAGGCGCCACCCAAGCCTCATATTCTTAAGCAGTTGATACTTATTTTCACTGGCACCCTTGGCTTCACGTGACAGAAAATCCAAAAAGGAAATTTTATTTGTACACATAACTGAAATTTTGACTTCTGATTTGTCTGGGTCCAGGGCCCAAACCACCTGGCTTCAGAATCCAAGGCTTCATGATACCATCTACCACCTTACCCTTGTGGCAGGATGGAGCTACCAAGGGCCAAATCCTCATGGTGGCAAGGTGGCTGCAGCAGCTCCAACCATACCTCCTCTTCTCAGGCCAACTCTGACAGGAGAGGTACTTCTCTCTGCTGTTCCTGGGCCACATGCCACCCAGCACACCACTCACTGAGGGTTTGGACCTATGCTGGGTATCTGGGAGAGACAGGTCCTAGCAAATCCAAGGGTTCCTCCCAGGTGAGAAGACGATGACAGATGTTTGCCGTCATTGTGTTGCTAGAACTTCTGGGTCTGTGAGGCAGGAAATAAACACGTTGCATTTCAGTTCTGTATGAATTTGCCTTTTGATTCAGGCAGCAGCTGTCCTGAGAAACTTTTTCAGTGAAACGTATGAACATTCTTATTCTGTGGGGCACATGGTCTTGCTCTGGTGCTGAGAGCACTCACAGGCACCTGCTGCACGGCCCAGTGAAGTCTCAGGAGACCAGGAGCTAGTTTGGGGGTCAGATCTGCAGCATTGTATTTTGTTTCTGAAGCAGTTAAAGATGTTTTAGGGATAAAGTGCTTCCCAGGGGGCTTCAGAAAGGATTACCCTGCCACTCTGGGCTCACTGCCCACTGCCCCTTCTCAGGAGCAGAATTGGGCCCCCCTCCCACCTGCCTGCCCCAGCCAAATCCCACAAGCCGTCTGCTGGATGGGAAGATTTGTCAGTTTAGCAATGGCCAGCAAACCCAACCAGAATGTATTCCATCCACTCCAAGGGACATACACAATCTGGAAACTTATTTAGAACCTTAGAATACAGGGGCTTATTAGAAGAATAAAAATAAATGAGCTACCCTCTTGATTCAGAATTAATCTGATTTTCTTCTCTCCTCCCTCCCCTTTAAACGTTTTCTCTTTTTACCATAAAAAAGGCTCAGGTTGAAGCCAAGAAGGAGCATGAAGGTGCTGTGCAGCTGCTAGAGGTAAGGAGCGGGCCCTGTCTGGGTGGGTGAGGCTGGGGAGGACCACGCTCGTGCCCTCCGCACACCAGCTCCTCCGTGCTGTTCACGTGGCCCCGTCTGGGTGGGTGAGGCTGGGGAGGACCACGCTCGTGCCCTCCACACACCAGCTCCTCTGTGCTGTTCACATGTCGTCTTATGTGGCCTTAGTGAGCACATGATAGGTACTGTGAGGAGTTCTATGTCTGCATGTGAGGAAGCTGAGCCACAGAGAGTTAAGTAGTTTTCCCTTGGCCACATAGCAGGGTCAGAACCATGTGTATCTTGAGTGTACTCCTTGACTGGCTCCCCTTGGCTGGGAAGCAAGGGCTCACTTCCTCTAAAAAAAAAAAAAGGTGGGCAGACCATTCGTGTGGATATCTGCCCTCCTAGAGACTGACGTAGGTGTGCGTTGTCAAGGTGTGACACAAATTCTGGGAGGCATATGCAGAATCAGAGAAAGGAGGCCTAGGATTCAGAGAAGCTAGTGTCATTGCAGGCACAATCTCCACAAATGCGGCATGAGTGGCTTTACTCCATCCAAGATGGCTTGGAAGGGAGATGGCTGCCACGTCCTGCCAGGGTGAGTGGTGTGTCAGATGCCAGCCTCCTTGGGAGTGAGTGGACAGACAGTCATGGACAGAGCTCTTGGGCTGCTCTGAGGCCTTGTCTGCATCCCCCATGCCCCGTGGATGGGGCTGCAGGGGGCCTGCTGGAGACAGAGGCCATGCACTCACCACTCTGAAGCAGCTGCTTATGCAAGAGGGGATTACCCACCCTGCCTGCCCTCTGGGATAGGTCTCCAGAGATGGCCGAGGTTGCCCTGTTTAGGGCGGCCCTATTCCCTGCCCCCATGGGAGCAGTAGCCACTTAGAACATGTGCAGCTCTCACTTTGCCTTTGAAAATCTATTTCTCCCACGGGAAAAGGTTTCATCATTATCATTATATATATTAAAATTGATTTTTTGGGAAGCGTCCATTAGTTAATTGCTATCTGGAGGGATGCGTGTGGTGAATAGCAGACCAGACACATAAGTACCCTGGAAGATGGAGACAGCCCCCTAATGGCCAGATGTCTCTCTGCAACATAATTTGATTCCCCACCTCCCCCATCCGAGTTGTCCACGGCACTTTAATTTGCATAATCTCCTGGCTGGAAATGTGGATCCTATTCCCCAGTTGCCCTGAGGCTACCAACTTGGTCATCCATGTTGTCTCAATCTGCCCTTGGAGCTGTCATTCTGCTGCAGTCCTGCTGTGGTCTGTTACTGTGCTGCTGTGGCACATGCTTTGAAGATGGCGATGGCTCCAGTGCAGCGTGCTTTGGTCTGACAAATAGAAAAGGGCATGTGATGTGCTGAAAATTGTGTGTTCTTTTATTTACAACATCTTTCCGTAATGGTGTCTCGCTTTGCTCTTTGCCCAGAACACCTTGGACAGCATGCAGGTATCTAGAGAATGGTGACTCCCCGCCTGGCGTGCGTGGTGATGCTTTCCCCATGCATGCACCCAGCCATGAGTCCCTGGGCCTGCTCAATCTGCCTCTCCTTCCTGGACAGGGCACCTTAAGGTGCCAACCCAAACAGAAGCTTTCTAATGTGGTGTGGGGGGAGGAGGTCGGGGTCTGTTAACCCTGAGGGCCGAGGAGCTGCTTCCAGAAGCTCCACGAGGGGGTCACCTCAATCCAGGCATCTGGATACAGAGTGGCATTCTCTGCGGTGTTGAGCAGGCACATGTACATGGTCCCACTGTCTGCCAAGGCTGTAAGGTCCAGGCTTGGAGGCCAGTCTGAATTCGGATGACCACAGGGGAGGATGGTTAGGGCTGATTCTGCCCTTGGGTTAGCCACAGGTGTGAGACTACCAGCAGACAGCCCAGGCTTCAGTTATTTGGTCATCAGAATTCAAGCCTCACGCCTGCGTGTTACACCTCTGTGTTATTCCTGCCCGTTACCCCTGCTCAGGCACCTTTCTGCTCTGCGTCTGCCACGGGCAAACAGCAAGCTCCCTCCAACAGGCTTTGTCGCTTCCTTTAACAGACAGCAGCCCTTTTAGTTACCTCTGGAGTCAAGGAGAAACTAAACTGTCCCTCAGAACAGGGCTTGGAAATTTTTCCCAACCTCTCAGACCTGCTGAATCAGAAACTAGAGGACGGCCATGGAAACTGTTTTATCTTGCCCTCCAGGGGTTGGTGGTACAGCTGATTCTGAAGAGCACATAGTCTATGAGGCCAGGAAGTGGGAAGGAGGAAATATTTTAAGGAGCAGTTTTCCTAGGGGGTCTCGGCCAATCTATGGCCTGGCAGCTTAGTAACCATTTAGCTTACCCCAGGGGTGTGGACCAGGAGACCCATCATCCGTCAAAGAACAATCTGCTGTGCATGGCATAGCTTTCGTTTCTAAGTGTTAATGTCCTTGGAGAATGCAGTACGTCCTTTCTATAGACAGAAATGATACTAAGAACAACCCCCATGTTCTCCCAGCTGGATCTATCATAATTTCTAGGTAAGACTTACCTGAGAACACATGTTCAATAAAAAATCCTCAGTGTACCCACAGACACAAACCCAGTTCCACCTATATTTCTAAGCCCTATGTTCTAGTGAGTGAGTGGCCAGGATGCTTGAGGTGGGGGATGGGGGTGTCTTTATTCCTGGTTATGTCTCATGGGGACAAGTCCCAGTACTCAAGGAATCATCTGGGCTGGTTTTGGAGTTTAGCTAAGTTATGTGCCAAGAGTTCACTAAAAATAGAACAGAGGTTTTCAGGAATTCTCTCTTCAGGATGGGGAGCTTTTTTGATAAACCAGAAAGGCTAAGAACAGGGAGATTCCAGATGCTATTAGTTAAGTAAATTTCTTTGGCATTTGAAGTCATGTTTAAAGCAAAGAAGCAAGATAAAAACAATAGTCTCAACATTTATTGAGCATGTGCTGTGTACCAACATGAGAGATATACATGTCACTCCATCCTTACCACAACTCAGGGATACTAAGCCAAGTCAGGTGAAGTGACCTGCCCAAGCAGTAAGGGGCGGGTCTGACTCAGACTTAGCTGCAGCTCTGGGACACGGCTTCCCTCCACCTTGGAACCCTGCCCTTCTGTGGTGTGTAGGCACATCCTGAAGGTTGCGTCGAAAGTCCGGGGCACTGGCTGCATAGTCTGGATCTGCCTGCGCTTTCCCTGGACATGGCAGTGGTGGGTGAGAACACAAGTCACCAAGTCACTCTATACCTGGCCTTTGACAAGTGCCATCAACTTTAATCTGGAAACCAATGGCGAGGTGGTTCTCTTCCTCCTCATGTAGGCAGTCAAGGAACAGAGAAACGGGCCACTCACCCATGAGCATACAGTTTCTAAGAGCCAGAGCAGGCCCCAAGGGCCTGAGGACATCCTCTCAGTGTGTTGAGAAAAGTCTCTGCAGGGAAGAATTGCTGCCAGGATCATAGACCTTGTCACCAGTGTCTGGTTAAGTGAAAGGAGGCTTCCTGGGCAGGGGAGCATACCTACAATGGGCGTGCCCCAGAGCTTTATGCTGCAAATGTGTCCGTCAGTGTGCTTCCTGGCTGATTCTCCAGGGCACCCCTGCAGGAGTTGGGGTCATCTCTCTGTAGGTCTTGCTGGTCTTCTCTTGGAACAAAAATATCACCTGCAGGCAACATCAGCCCCTGCTCATCTTGGCCTCAGGGGAACCCAAATGTTCTCCATGTGAACAGTTTGCTGTTGCCCAAGTCTCATTTGGGAGACTTATGAAAGTGGATGAGATGCCTCCTTCCATAGGCACGTATGGGCCACCTCCCCTTGAGGATCTCTGTCAGGGCCGCTGTGGGCTCTGGGCACCTGTGCCTGTAGGGATCCCTTACCCCCATAAAAAATGCGGAAAGTTATATTTTACATCTGCCCAGGAATAGAGAGGAATATAATCTAGATTCACCAAGATATATTTGTTATTCTTAATCACTTTTTTCTTGTGATTTTAAAGGAGATTTAAATTAAAACGTTTCTGTACATCCCTAAACATATGTTGGCCCCAGACTCTGCTGGGCCTATGGGAGATGCCAGCCCTGCCTGGCTCTTGTTGAGATGGTCACTAACCTCATAGCAGGTGAGTGTGGGGTGGATGAATGGATGCAGGTCGGGCTCAGGTGTGTGTGTGTGAGGCCAGGCTGGGTTATGCTGTAGTAACCAGCTTTCTGACCTCACGCTTACTGCATGAGGGCTGCTCTCTCCCTCTCAGTGGTGACTCAGGGACCTATGCTCCCAGCCTCTTGTGGCTTCCTGGTTCCCATGGCATGGAGGGCTCATATCGTGTCAGTGCCTCAGGTGCAGACAGACTTGGGTCACCTCTGCTTACAGGACATCATCTGGAGCTGGAGAGTTGGCCCAACTTCACTTCAAGGGAAGCTGGGAATTGCAGACTCCTGGGGCCCAGGAGCAAAGCCACTTGGGGTGGCTCATGGCACTGTCTCTGTCACATCAGAATTCTGGGAAGTAATTTTGACATCCTGGATGTTGTCTTTGACCAAAATGGCTACATAACACTGACATTAAAAGTGACAGAACATGAATCAAGTTCAAAGTCTGAGAGATGAACAGATATAGAAGACTTACAGGTAACATTCCATACCCTCAATTTTCCCCCTGGAACTGTGTGCATTTTCGAAGGAGACATGGAGCTTCCCCTCCCTCAAAGTGGTCTGGACAGTGTCATGTCCATGAAAGCCTCACTGGGAAGTGAGGTGAACTGGGGACAGGGGTATCACGTCAGATCCTGTGTTTGGGAGTTTAGTCGCTCAGGACAGAATCAGATGCCTGGTTTACCTGCCCAGTGCCTCCTTTCCCCCGGGGTTGGCACCTTGGGGGCCAACACCGGGGTGAATAAGTAGTGTAGGCCCTTTGACCCTGTGTGGCTGCCACATCTGCACAGGAACAAGAACATGAGACGGCCCAGCCCACCAGCTTGGAGCTCCCTGTGCTTTGTGTGCGTGATCTCAGCATGTCACTGAAGCAGGCATGCAAGGCGCCGGGTCCTCACAGAGCTGTGTCCGCACAGAGAAAACACTGTAGTCTTAAAAATGAGTCCTCACCAGTTTCTCACCCTGGCTCCTACTTTGTTACATTTTCATACTAAGATTTTGTCATCCTATAAAGATCTTAGAATTCAAAGCAATTGCTTCCAGGATTCTACACTTCAGAGTCTGTTCAGTTGGGTCCACACAGTTTTTCTGCACATGTAATAGTTGCAGACAGGTGCCCGGAGCAGGGACTGGTGCCAAACTGCCAATGCAAGGAATCCCCACAGGGAAATCGCTGTGGACAGGTCCGGGAGCGCCTCTAGGGACTTCTAATATGTTTGCAGAGTTCAGACAAGCACACTCTTGTGTTCTGCTGACTGTGGGTTTTAGTCACTGAGAGGAGTGAATGAAGATACTGGGGTGATGTCACTAATTATCTGGACCCCTGGTGTTCGGGCTCTTTGGCCACAGAAGATGAAAGATCTCACCGTCTGGGTTCCAGAAGGCTGCCTTCACCCCTGTTTTATAGATGGAGAAACTAAGTCCCCTGAAGTCACGTGACTTGCTTCCAGGTTCTATTGGGGGTTGAAGGCTCAAGACCTAACCCCAAGTTGATGTAGGGTAGGCCTGCCCCTTGGGTGTGCATCTGTGAGTCTCTGAGTCCCTCGTGGCTGACTCTTCCTGCCTGGTGCCATGGTCTCAGCTTGACCTACCAGGGAGTCTCGACAGTTGGGATGATGGCTACACATAGTAGGTACTCAATGAATGATAAATCCATACAGAGATGGCATGCAGTTTGTTTCCTAATCACATCTACGTGGGGTGACTGGGAGCCTGGATGGCCCCTGAACTTTGCCTGCAGTTCCAGAGCCTGCAGCACCACCCCTTCTCCCCAGACTATCCTGTTTGGACACTGATCTTGGGGCATTGTGCCCACCTCACCACCACCTCTTTATGAATTCAGGGGCAAATGCTACGTGGAGGGATGTGGGGATCCTGGCAGTCACGGCTTTGGGTATGTTTTCCACTGTCTTTATAAACACCCACATCCACGTTTGCAAGCCTCTGCTGTTTGTTCCAATTATAGTTTGTTTGCCTGATGACTGTGCCATCTGTCCCTGCTGTGGTCAGGACACAGTTGCTACTGAGCAGCGCCCTCTGTGCCCCCATGCCTGCAGGTACTGGCCTGGGGCCTGGGGAGGAGACAGCAAGCATACCCATCTCAATCCAACCTGGGAGGTGACAGTGCTCTAGGTCTTATAATAGTGACGTCCAAGTGCACCAATCTGGGGCAGGATGGTGGGCATGCTGTTTCCTTCCCCCATAATTTAGAAGCAGGTCCTTTTGTTGGTGACTCTTGGGTGGTTGGTGGCACTTAGCTCCAGAGCCTACACCTTCACCATGTGTGGCAGGGCCAGGGGTACAGTCAGATGAGCTGAAGGGAAAGGTGCACAGACATTAGGTGTGCATGCTTAGGTACGACTCTTGGATTTCTCTCGGTGGGAATTTGAGGTGGGAGAGGCTTTGCCATTCTGTCTCAACTTCATGGTACGTTGTAATGAAAGTGAGTCTTACCCCAAACCTGCTGGTGCGGACAGATGCTTGTTGACTAGCTGGAGCTAAAGGGTTTGTTCTATGTCTGGGCTGTGAGGTCCTAGCTCTCTCTGCTGTGGGCCATGCCCACTAACACACACCTACACAGGGCCCAGGCACCTGTTGTCCTCAGAACTGGCATCTGCATATAGGACCACATGGCAGTCCAGCTGTGAGTGCTGCCCTGAGGCTGCTGGGGAAGAGCTTCTCTGGTGCACACCTGATTCATCACTGGTGGAGCAGCACTGAGATATTTGAGCCATTAGTATGTCTTGAATACCCTTGATTCATTTCATCAACAAATGCCTATTTCTACCATTCTTTGTGCCTCGGAAAAAGCCTATAATTTTACTTTATCCTCCTGATATCGGTCATGCGACCAAGCATGCCTCAGGCCCGTGGAAATGCAGAGGGCAAGATGAACAGGGCTCCTGCTGCTGGGGTGGGGCTGCAGCCTCCCTGGTACCCTCCAGGAGGATTGCAAGCTAGAGGTCCCGGAGTACCTCCTAGGGCTGAGGGAGGAATTGTCTTACATTGTGGATGATGCAGGTGCAGCTGGAGGTGTCAGTAGGACCACAAGGCCCCCAGAACCAGCAGGGTTGCCCCCTATACTCTCTGGCTAAGGAGGAGTATAACACAGTGGCCACAGCCTGTATCAGTCTCCAGATGTGGCCTGGGTCAGCCTAGACAGTTCTTGAAATGCTTGTAACCAATGTGTGTATGTACTGGGTAGTAGACAACCCCAGCCAGGATGCAGCAGCCCTGCTCCGACTCCCCTAATTCCTGCAGCTTTGCCTCTCTGGCCCCTGTGGACACCATACCCCATGGTGGTCTGCAGTCACTCCTGAATCTGCTCACCCCCAGAGGGCTGACCACCCTCATCCAAGGCTGGGCCTTCTCCAGGCACCTTGATCACAGACCCTGCAGGAAGACACACCCAGAAATGAGGGAGTGGCTGGAGCCCTGGGGTGTCCTCAGGTTGGAAGTGACTTCAGTGTTATAGCAGGGCCATGGCCCAGTGTCAGGCAGAGAAGAGCCCTCAGCGGTGAGGAAGCACAGGTCACCATGCCACATGTGGACCCTGCCCCTGGGATGGAGGATCCCTGGGCACTCTCCTCTAAACCACCCGTGCCCAGGGCCCCTGGTTTTCAGTTCTGCGCCTTCCTCAGTGGACACAGCTAGCTTGACTAAGCCCATTCAGCTTTTTAAAAGAATCCTGCTGATTGTTTCTTAATGAATCAAAGAAATTAATTATAGCCTTTATATTTGTTAGGTTTATTTTTAGAAATTCATAATCTCAGACATAAATAGCACTTCATTCTGGATCCAGGAGCTGAGAAACCGAATGACTATAGAGGGAGCTGGGTGGAACAGGATGCAGACAAGGGGTGGGGGTGTGTGTGCCCCTTTTTGAGCATTTCAGCCAGGCCAGGGGGGCTCTGCTGTGACCGGGCTGTCCTGTGGGCTCTGTGTCCACATCTCACACGTGTCTGTTGAGTGCTGAGTTGGTACTGAGGTGTGTCCCCCCCCATACTGGGACCCAGCAGGTAGAAGCAGGCAAGGGTCCTGCTGCCCTGGAGCTGACCTTTCCCTGGGAAGCCCGCCAGTACACACACCAGTGATCGGGTAGGCAGGGTCTTCCTGGCCATCTTACTAAGGCCTTACACAGAGACTGAGTGAGCCTGGGCCCTGAGGAGCCACTGCTGTCAGGAATGTGTCTCTGCGCATCAAGGCTCCCTTCTTTGTGCTGACCCAGCAAACACTTATGGAGCACCTGCTGTGTGCCTGGTTCTGTGCTGAGCACTGAAAATGTGCAGTGACCCAGGAAGCAGAGCGTAGACTCAGAGCTCCCCATTCGGTGGTGGAGGTGACAAGAAGCAGGTAGTCGGGGCAGCTATAGCGTTCGGGTGGGGAGCATGTGATGGCAGGTATACATGGCAGGGAGCAGGCCTTCCATGTGCATCTCCATGAGCAGAGCCAGGGCCCTTGTTGCAGGACAGGGCCTCCTAGACAGTGAGTCCCCAGGGCAGGGGAGAGAGCAGCTTTGCTCATGCCCACTCGACCTGAGAAGGAGCAAGCCCTCAGGGGCCAGTGCTGTCCCAAGACCAGCCCCAGTTCAGCCTGGGCTGTCCTGCCCTAAGGAGGGAGCTTCGCTGGGCTGCCCTGTCCTATGTGTGTCCCTGAGGGAAGCGCCTGCCCTTCCCTAGGGTCTCGAGATGTCTGTGTGTTGTTGGCAAGTACAGCAATGTTGTTAACCAAATCCAGCAGGTGGAAATTCCCTTTTTTTACTCAAAATGATGTTCTTTTGAGTTCTGCAATACTAGGGGACAGGTGCTGAAGAGAAGGAAAAAAATGCATCAGCGAGTTAGCAACTGAGCTGTTATGAGTCTGGGCTGTGTCACTACCTCACACTCCAATTTCAAACAACTCTGGCAAGGCGTGCCAACCACAAAGTGCCCAGGCTGCACATGGGGCCCGGAACAGCCGCAGTTGGCTGGGAGCTGTGTGTTTACAGAGTTTCTTGGTGCCCGTGGTGTCTCTCACTAGCCAACAGCCAGGCTTTTGGGGGAAGCTGGGTTATCAGACACCGGCCTCCTGAGGAGGTAGGAGGCAGTCACACACATGCACACCCCATAAATGTGTGCGCACACATCCCCCCACCAGATGCCCCTGCTCACCCCCTCCTGCCTCTGCTGTGCAGTCCAAGGTCCGAGAGCTAGAGGAGAAATGCCGGACTCAGAGTGAGCAGTTCAACCTGCTGTCCCGGGACCTGGAGAAGTTCCGGCAGCACGCGGGCAAGATCGACCTGCTGGGTGGCAGCGCGGTGGCCTCTCTGGATGTCCCCACAACTCCTGGCAAGCCTTTTCCTCCATTCATGAATGGCCTAGCCACCTCCATCAGCAAAGGTAAGCGCCTGGGTCTCCCACTGCCTCTGCTGCCGGGAAGGCAGCCCTGACCAGCCAAGAGGCTGTGCCCATACCTGGCAGGGACCACAAGGACCTGTCACAGCTGTCCCTAGGATGAGATCACACAGGGAGCTCAAAACACCTCATTCACTTCACAGGCATCAGCAAATCTAAGTTGGGAGACAGTATTCTTAGGCCCATTTTATAGAGGAGGAAAGCCAAGGCGTGTGTCGGGTGTCTGTTGATGAAAGGCTGAGCCAGTATTGGGCTGCAGAGGGTACCCCGGCAACTGCTGTGCGTGAATTGCTGGCCAGGTGCCCCCCGCACCCTGCAAAGCTTGGTCCTCTGCTGTGGGTTTTCTTCTCACTTCTACAACCCAGGGGGAGCACTGGGATGCACTTGGAATTTTGTTCCAGCAAAGGCAGCGATGACTGTTAGCGTTTACCTCTGTGTTTCTATTCAGGAAGCAGAGTGAGGAGCAACATGGTTCAAGTGTGCCTGTGTGTGTGGGATTTTGTCCTGTTACAGGTGTCATTTAATCAGACTTCATTACAGGTGCCACCTCTACGCTCACGAGATGAAACTCCCGAAATGAGTTTCGTGACCGGGTCTGCCCACCAGCTTAGTTGATTTTGAAATTAAGAGGAGATACGTGTCAGACCCTCACTGTGGAATTTTATAAGAGAGAGCTTCCAAATTTCTCTCAGTCTTCTAAATTTTTCTTATCAGACTGTATGATCTGAGCTTTTTGGTGCTGGTTTTTTTTTTTTTTTAAATTAAAACGGTATGATGCTTCTGGAATCCTGCTGGGTGACATCCCCTGCCCCCACGTCTTTTCTCTTCCCCCACCCCCAGTGCAGACATCAGTGGGGGTGCTGGGTGGAACCTGTGGCCATGAAAAATAAGATGAGGGGGAAGCCGAGGTGTCCTCCACCTGAGTCCAGACGCTGGGGGCCCTGGGTGGAGCCTCTGGTCACACGGTGGGGATGGACAGTAGGTAACCAGGAGGCCTCAGTGCAGACAGACACTGCAGATGAGCAAGGCAGAGGGACCCTGGCTGTTTTAGGAGTGTCAGGGCAGAGCTGCCTGGCCACCCGCAAGGTGGCAGGGGTAAGAAGGTTTGGGCTCTTCCCAAGAGAGGACAGAGATGATGGCTGTGCAGATTTGCTGGCCTCTGCCCTGCTCAGCGAGGAGGACGGCGTCACTGCGCCGGGAGGCCCTTTGAGACTGAGGGCTGGCTTGATGGGCTCTGCATGTGCCCACACTCCAGATTTCTTGCAGGGAGGTGGTGTTCCCTGCCAGGGGAGTGGCTTTATTAGCTGAGGGCCTTTTAGAAGCTGGGTTCCTGACACCAGCCAGGGCCCAGCCCTGTGAGCAGCCCTTCTGAGAACAGCAGGCTTGTCCTACTAGGCCATCCATCTCTGATGAGTGTGTGTGTGTGAAGCATCCATTGGAGGAGGTGAGAGCAGTGCTTTACCTGAGATGGATCTGGTACAAAGGTCTAAGTAATGACAGTGAAAAATGGACACTGAAGAAAACCAAAAAAACAACATGGCCTGTGCCTCTACTAAGCCAGGGGCCCAGATGCTCAAAGAGGTTTGCAGTATGACTTCTGTTTAACCACCATGGGGAGGGTACCTCACCCTCATTAACCCAGCTGGTTTAATGAAGTGTCACCTATCCCAGAAGGGGCCCCACTGGCAGGACCCCATCTCACCTGGCACAGCCTTGTGTCTTCCTTGCTGTGTGGGACCAGCGCCTGCAGAGAGCTGCCCCTGCATGACCTGAAATCTTAGACATCCTTTCCTGCAAACAGCTGTGGGCCCCCCACCATGGGCTGTTGTTTAAGCCTTCCCCATCACTGCAGTATTTACAACTCTTAGGTATAGATGACAATTTAGAATGTTATATATAGTAGAACCTCTGTAAGTTGACCATGCAAGGGACTGTAACAAACTGGTTAACATACAGAGGTGGTCACCATAAGGAACGAGGCCTGCTGTGCTAATAAGTACACATGGTGCATGTCCAGTCTATGAGAATAAGGTCAGCCTGAGGTGGTCAGCTATAGAGGTCCCACTGTTTTTGAGGTGTGCCACTTGATGATTTGCTACGCATACGCATCGTGAAATGACCACCACCATCGGGGTTCATTAACCAAGCATCTGCCTACTCACATGGGTAGCTTTCCTTTTGGGGTGAGAACATTAAGATTGACCTTAGCAAACGTCAAGTGTACATATGGTGTTGTCAACGATGGTCACACTGCTAGATCCCTGGAACTTGTGTCATGTCACTGAAGTTCTGTGCCCTTGGATCAACATGTCCCCGCCCCTGTCTGAGCCCTGGGGAATCACCTCCTCCTGTTTTTTGGGTCCATGTGTGAGTGAGCCCTGATGCTCTGTGGTTCTGTGTCTGGCTCATTCCACGCAGCACAGTGCCCTCCAAGGTTATCCACTGTTGAGGATGGCGGGATTTCCTTCTTTTCTACAGCTGAATAATATCTTATTGTCTATGTACATGTTTTCTTTATCCCTTCATTCATCACAGATCTTCTCTCTGCAGTGGAGGTGGTAGGAAGATGCAGGGCTGGCCTCAGGTCAGAGGAGGCGACCCAGGCGGGTGCTCCTCACTCACCACCCTCCCCCTCACCCTCCCCCTGCCTGGGGCTAGCGGCTGCTTTGTGATGGGAGGGCCACAAAGGGTTGAGCATGAGCCCCTGTTGGGATTCACATTCTGAGGGGTGTGTGGGAACCTGTCCTACTTGAAGGCAGTGACTGCAGAGTTTTATTTCTAATCTTACATTTACTCATGAAGAATAATGGCAGGTAGAAATCTGCCATGCTGATCAGATGGTTTGCCTGGAAAAAAACCTAGAGAACTGGGTTGGTGCAGGTCACGTGTGCTTACATCTCATCTTTATCCGCTGTGCCATTGGTCAGGATGGGCAATGTTCTGCAGTGACAAGCAGTCCCATACTCATGGCACAGGTCCATGTCTTTTTTGAGACAGGGTATAACTTTGTCACCCTGGGTAGCGTGATGTGGCATCATAGCTCATAGCAACCTCGTTCTCTTGGGGTTAAACAATTCTCTTACCTCATACTAGCACCTGCTATAATGCCTAGCTATTTTTGGAGATGGGGTCTCATTCAGGCTGGTCTTGAACTCCTGATCTCAAGCACTTCACCCACCTTGGCCTCCCAGAGTGCTGGGATTACAGGCGGGAGCCCCCACACCCACCCTCAGGTCCTTGTCTTAATTGTGCTGCAGTCCTCTCAGGCTAGGGAGTGGGTTCCATGTTGTCACCACTCAGGAATACTGGAGGAGGGGGGTCTCCTCTCTCTGGAATGTTCTCTATGCTGTGTGTGGAGAGGAAACGTGGCATTGGCCCCAAAGTGGGATATGTCACTTCCTTTCTCAGCTCACTGGTCCATGGGAGGCACGTGGCAGGGGCACATTATGCTGTTGCTGAGGGGCAAGGCATCGGAGGCACTGAAGACCCCTGCACAGACTCTCGGCTTCTTAGGCTTCTGAGCTCTCTGGGAGATGACTTGTCTGATAAACATTTAACACCTGCTACGTGGAAAACGCTGTCATAGGCACTAGGGTCTGTGGCGGTTTACAGAACAAAGCCCCAGACCACCTCAGTCTGATGTTCTTGCAGGGGACATTTGGGTAGGGCTGTCTTGGCACAAACTCCGAAACTCCCCTCACATTGGCACTGTCTTGCCGTTCACTTAACCCCCTGGTGCTGTGGGCCGTGGAGCGGCCGAATTGGAGCGCTAATCACATTGCTTGTATTTCCTGGTTTGGCCTCCATGGCCCACGTCCTTCAGCATGGCTGTCCTTGAGGTGTGATGGCTGTGAAGAGTCTAGACAAGGCCACAGGGAAAACAGCCTCAGTGGGGGAGTCTGGGGAGGGAGTTGAGGCCTCTGTCTCCCACGCCGTATCCTGCTACAACACCCACCTTCACTCGGACAGTCCCGGCTGACGTCAGGCAGGTGCTCACTTCTCCCTCTCAGACAACAAGGACGGGGCAGCAGCCTTACAGGCCCCCAGGACACGGGCTAGAACACAGCTGCTTCTGTCCTGGCAAGTCTCGCCAGAAGTAGTTTTGAGTCCCAAAGCTGGCCTTTTGGCCAGTAGGACTCTTCTGGTCATATGTGACAGCAAAACAACCTAAACTGGTGTGAGCAGAAAGGTACTTGCCTGTTGTTCAAAGCAGACATACCTCTCAGGCTCCTCCTGTGATCACGTTCTGTTTCCAGCTGTGTGTCCAAGTTTTGCAGCCACTCGGTTGTAAGCCAAGGAGAGGACAGACCTCTGCCTATGACTCTGCCTGGGCCCTCCCTAGTCACCTGCCACCACCACAGTGGACCCTGCCAGACACACAGGTCTAGAGCTGGGCTGGGGTGAGAATGGCCTCTGTAGATTAAGAGAAGATGGGGGAGTGGTCCCCAAATTGAAAGTCAAAGGCTGTTTCCAAAGACGGGGGAGGCCCCAGGAAGGTGAATGACTGATGCTCTCTTATTTTTTTCCCCCACTTATTTCAACGTCCATGGCCAGGCCAGGAGAGCACTATTGGAAGTGGCTCTGCACTTGGAGAAGTTATCCGGCCTCTCCCACTCCCTGCTGACAAGCCAGAGACTCTGTCCACCAAGCCCACCTTTCTGTCAAGATCTGGTAGCCCAAGATGCAGATTTGAGTCAGACGTGAGTCCTGTCCTGGTGGGGGTCACCCTGTGTGTCTTGGCGGACTCGACCCACCTTTTCTCCCTGCCCCCCTCCTCCCTCTCTTCCTCTTGGCTCTTCCCTTCACTCCTATTCATTCCTGAGCCAGGCTTTGATGCCAGGATGTGGGGACCCTGCCATGATCATAAATGTGAAGTCCCTCTTCCTGGAGGTGGACCAAGTCACATTGAGCATGAAGCTAGCACAGCAAGACACCCTGAGTCTGGGATGAGCTGGGGAGCAGCCTGTCCTGGTGCAGATGGTCCCTCTGAGGGCTGCTGGTCTGTGGGTGTTGCGGGTGATTCTCTGTGGGTGAGAAGGACCCAGAAGCTGCCCATGTGTGTCTGGACAGGAGGTGGAAGGGTAGGAAGGGAGCTGAGGCTGTGGGCCACAGGACATATTCAGGTTCTTGGAGAGGCTGAAGGTGAGAGCGACATGGTCTAATTTCTGTTTAGAAAGATGTCTCCAGCTTCCAGGGGGAGGGAGAGAGCAGAACTGTGAGGGGAGGGTTCATGTTGTCACCCAGCCCTCACTCCCGCCCCCGAGATCACTGCAGGAGTCACCCGTGGGTGTTGTTCCCATTCTGTAACCCCCTCTGGCCATGTCCCCCCAGTCCCTGCAGTTTCTAGATGCCCATGTGTGGTCTCCTAGCAGGCAGAGCAGTGTGTCCTATGAGCCCACCACTGCCCATGTCTCTTGCCTTAAATTAGGTTGGATGTGGCCCTCACCTCAAGCCTTACTTGGTGATTGAGGACTAGGTTCTTTGCAGTGCCCTTCTGTGTGAGCAAGGGGGTATGGGGGCATCTTGGGGGACAGCACAATCTGAGGCTATTCCCCCCAAAGTCCAGGGAGACTGTCCGAGGGCTTCCCTGTGGGTTGTAGGTGTGAGATGCGACCCTTCCATCATCAGTAACCCAACACTTCTCTGTGTCCCCCCAGATGGAGAATGAACGGAACTCCAATACCTCAAAGCAGAGATACTCGGGGAAGGTCCACCTGTGTGTCGCCCGCTACAGGTGAGGACGCTGCCCCTCTCTGCACCTGTCTAGTGCCTGTGAGCAGGGACACTTTGGAGCAGATGAGGTGACAAGTCCGGGATGGCCCCATGAGCTGAGAAGGTCCCTTGTCCACGCTGGGCTCCAGAGGATGAGAACTCTGGTGGGCAGACTGTGGGTCACATGTCAGCTTCTGGGGGCTGCAGGAGCAGCAGAGGTTTCTCCTCTCCTGGCTCTGGAGGCCGAAATCTAAAGACCTGGAGAAGGGCCCTTCCTCCGCCTCCCAGCTTCTCAGAGCTCTGGATGCTTCTGGGTGTGCAGCAGAGTTGCCTACCTCTGTCCTCACATGGCCTACTCCCCACATGGGTGCACCCCCCTCACACAGATGCCATCCTTGGGGGAGAGCCCCCCACTCTAGCGAGACTTTATTCCATGATATTTGCAAAGACCCTGTTTCCAAATAAGTCACAGGTGCAGGGGTTAGAACATGAGTATGCCTTTGGGGAGGGCACACGTCAACGAACAACAGGCAGCAGACTGAGTCGACAGGGTTACTGCTGTCTGGGGCAGCCTGTCAGTGGCTCTGGTGTCCTTGCTTGCTTCCCAGCACCCCAGGATGCATTTGGCTGCAATTACAGTCACTCAGGCGATCTCTCCTTATGGAGGGCTTTGGTATTCATGCTCACCGAAAAGTGACTAGAACCAGCTTTGTCACTTAAAACTGTCAGATGAAGGTGAGTGGATGTGGGCTCATGCCTGCCCCACCTTCCTTGCCTGTGTGCAGGGAAATCTCAGGCCACACCTGCTGCACAGACTCGTGTGGATTAACTGGAGCAGGCGGAAAGCAGGCAAACCTTCAGTTCTTCATGCTCTGTGAGAACCTGGACTTTCCTCTCCATGGGTGCTCCAATGCTGGGAGGACAAGGCTGGCCCAGAGCAAAGCTGACAACATCACAGAGGCAGATACTGAAGCCTGGCATTGGGCAGCTAGGGTCCCCCCGTGTCCTGTCTGCACACACAGCTGTGTGGGAGCTCAGTTCAGGCAAAGGTGCAGATGCCCCATCACTAGATCCTCAGTCTTTGGCCGTGTAGGGTGGGAGTGGCTCTTAAGTTTAGCTGCTCCTTATTTTTTTGAATGCCTTCTACTTTTGCCAGTGAGAGCTTCTAGAAGCCATTATGTTTCTAGTAGCCAAGATGCTGATGAGTAGATGTCCCTCTGATGATTCACCAGCTACCCGTTCTACCAACGCGAGCCCATTTCTGACATTTGGGTTACAGAAGTATCTGGTGGCCCCTGGGATGTAGGCTGCCTGATCAGAGGGTTGTCTCACCCCCAAGTGAATGCTAGCTATACCTAAGTGGGCCTCACCCATCACATGTCCCTCTGTTTCACTGTCCTGAGGGACAGCATCACAGTGCTGGGCACACAGGTCCCAGTGGGCATGGCTGGGTAGAAGCTTTTCCTTGCTGTCTGTGGAGGCCCCAGCACCATGCCCTTGGCAAGGCCAGACTGGTGCCCTCTGAACTGGTGTCAAGATTGCCCCAGGCTGCGCCTGGGTGAGCCATACCCCTCCCTTCCTAATTCCAGGCGTGGGCCAGTGGCGCTGCCACATGCAAAGTGTAGTGTCCATTTTGTGGTATTGCTGGCTCTTGAGATCAGATCCAAACCAATGTTGCCCCTGTGGACCTGCACCTTTGTCTTCTCAGCTCCCTTAGATGACCCTGATCACTACCTGTGGGCCTTTGCACATGCTGTTCTCACTTCGGGAACTCTTTGTCCCCTTACATCCCACCCTGAGCTTTGCATTCCAGGCTTATCTGAGTCTGTTCCTTACGTGGATTATCACCTGTGCTGACGCATATGTGGTCAGATTGTCCATAAACCTCTGGACTCTGGTAGTGAGGGACCCCAGTGATTTGATGTGGCTAAAATCACATGAGATAGGGAATCTAGGTCCCCCCTACCACTTTATAGCTTATGACTTTTCTTATTTTCTTTGGCCATTAAAATTGGGAATACTATCTTCTCTGTTTTCCTAAGTTTTAGTGGCCATCAAATAAAACATAATACATGAATGTGTGAGTAAATTGCCTAGTACTATTAATGTGTGAATCATTACTCTGTTGGTATTATCATGTCACAGTTTCTGGCTATCTTCTCCAACTATTAGTAATGTTATTTATCTTTTTAATTGAGGACTTTGCTGTTATTATAAATTCTTTAGCCTTTTATTTAGAAAGTCTCAAATTTATCTGAATTTGTGTTATGTGCTTAATTTTCCACATTGGCCTTGACTTTTAAAAATGTTAATTCTAACACACTGAGGACTTGAGCATCTGTACTCCTGGGGACAGGGCCGGCCGGGTAGGGTAAAATCATGACTCTTTCTAAAATTCCGACACTTTGTTTGTATTTGTCTCTTCTACCATAATTACACGTTTCCAGATTAATAAGCAAATATTAAAAAGATTGAGCCTGTTACTTTCAACAGGTATCATTTAGTAAAGGTGGAATTATATGCTACTTACTGTTTATATATTTTTTTCAGCTCATAGTATGACATTCTATACTTCTACCTTGAGAAATCCTGTGTCATTTCCTTTTTGATGGGTGGACAGTATCCCATTTTTAGAACATTTTGATAGCACATACCCAAGACCTTAAAAGTGTACATTGTTTTGAGAAGCAAATGTATTTCTTAGGATTAGATTAGGCAGAAATCATGAAGACGTGCAAAGATACGTTTATAAAGGCATTTGACGCAACCCTGGCTGTAATTGTCAAAAGCTGGAAGAAACACCAACGTTATGCCCAACGTGAGGACACAGGTTTGAAAAAGTATGTTAACCTGTTGGGTGGATACTGTCCACCCATCAAAAAGGAAATGACGTGGGATTTCTCAAGGTAGAAGTATAGCATATCGTATCATGAGCTGAAAAAATGTATAAATAGTAGGTACCATGTGATTCTGCCTTTACTAAATGATACATGTTGAAAGATAACAGGGTCGATCTTTTAAATGTTTGCTTATTTGGAAATGTATAGTTACAGTAGAAGAGACAAATGTGAACACAGTGTCAGAATCATAAATATGTCATCTGATAGAAGGGACGCCGAGAATGTGACGTGGGCTGAGAATTAGTCTTAAGTCTGTGTGAGCAGCAGTGGCTGCATTTTCAGCCTGCAGGGGACTGACTAATCCCGAGCTACTGCCAGGGTTTCACGGGAGCAGCAGGGTGCCCACCGGCACTCTGCTAGACTGTCCCAGGCGTCTCCACCCAGTTCCCCTGATGCAGACCTTGTGCTTTTCTCTCTAGCTACAACCCCTTCGATGGGCCCAATGAAAACCCGGAAGCCGAGCTGCCTCTCACGGCGGGAAAGTACCTCTACGTCTATGGGGACATGGACGAGGATGGGTTCTATGAAGGTCTCTGCGGGGCCCTGACGTGTGCTGGGTTCCTGGGCCTCTGCTCCGCTCCTTACCCACTCGCCAGAGTTCCTGGTCCCCCCCTCCTTTAGATGACCAGCAAGAAAGCTGAGCAGCATTTCCAATTTCTATCTGCCAGCGGACTCCGTGCGTGTTCTGGCGTGTCAGTCTCCACAGAGCTTTCCGGCAGCTATTTGCATATATGCGGGGCTGACGGACCCTCTGCTTCCAAGGGGTCTCTCTTGCTTTCATCTTACAGCCCCCAGACCCTTGGGGTTTCCTTGTCAGTGTCCTCTTCTATAGGACCAAGTTCCTCTCCAGGGGACCTCACACAAGAGTGGCTTCTGGAAGTTACAGAGAAAGATCCCATGGCTGTGAGGCTCTGTTGTTAACTTAGGGGTCAGTCCTGTGTCCTGCCTCATCAGTCTCTTGGGTCCCCTCTCATGATGTGAACTCAGGAGACACTAGCCCTCCCGCCAAAAGGCCTCTCCTGTTGTCGCTTTCTTAGCTTGAGGATGGGCATCCAAGTTGTGAGGTCCTCGCTATGGTGGAGTGTTACCCTAGCCGGGAGGGGGAGTTAGCATACGTATACAGATAAATGAACCAGATGGTTTCAGACCACCATGAGCGTTATGGGGAAAACCACACTGGGTGATAGAGGAAGGTGGATCAGGTTATTTTAGATTGTGGGTGTGGAGGTGACATTTGGGTGGATTCCGTGATGAGCTGAGGAATCCCAGGACAGTCTTGTTGCTTTGCCTTATGGTCCTATCAGGGAGAGGTGGGGAGAGTGCTGCCAGGGTCAGGGCTCCTGCCTGATACCTGGGTGATGGCCCTGTCCTTGTACCCAACAGGAGAACTCCTCGATGGGCAGAGGGGTTTGGTGCCCTCCAACTTTGTGGATTTTGTCCAGGACAACGAGTCTCGGTTGGGAAGTACGCTGGGGAATGAACAGGACCAGAACTTCATCAACCATTCCAGCATCAGCTTGGAGGGGGAGAACATTCTGGACCTCCACTCGCCCACTCACATAGACTCGGGCATCACGGACAACAGTGCGGGGACGCTGGACCTGAACATTGACGACATTGGAGAAGACATTGTGCCTTACCCTAGGAAAATCACCCTCATCAAACAACTCGCCAAAAGTGTCATTGTGGGCTGGGAGCCCCCGGCAGTACCGCCGGGCTGGGGAACCGTGAGCAGCTACAACGTGCTGGTAGACAAGGAGATGCGAATGAGTCTCATGCTGGGAAGCAGGACCAAGGCCCTCATCGAGAAGCTGGACACGGCTGCCCGCACCTACCGCATCTCTGTGCAGTGTGTCACAAACAGGGGCAACTCTGACGAGCTGCGGTGCACGCTGCTAGTGGGCAAGGATGTGGTGGTGGCACCCTCCCACCTGCGGGTGGACGATGTCACGCAGGTCTCCGCCCAGCTCTCCTGGCTGCCCACCAATAGCAACTACAGCCACGTCATCTTCCTTAACGAGGAGGAGTTCGACATTGTCAAGGCTGCACGGTACAAGTACCAGTTCTCCAACCTCAGGCCCAACATGGCCTACAAGGTGCGGGTCCTGGCCAAGCCCCACCAGATGCCGTGGCAGCTGCCGCTGGAGCAGAGGGAGAAGAAGGAGGCCTCCGTGGAGTTCTCCACATTGCCCGCAGGTGAGCCTGTGTCCTTCCGTGGGGTCCCTGAGGGAGAGGACACTGGGCATTGGCCTGCACGTGGGGAGCAGGGGTGAGAGTACACAGGGGACCCGCATGCCACCCAAACCACCCTTGAAATGCCTTAGAGCCACCCAGGAAGCACACGAGCCAGTCAGGGTGTACAGGTGTGTTTGAGTGGGGGAGTACCAGACAGGTGGTTGATCATATTTCTTTCAGCACTTTTATCATCCAATAAAAGATGGGGAAAATGAGTCCCTCCCAGGGGACAGAAGAGTGACATCTTCCATACCATGTTCTCCCTTGAACATGTGTTCCTGGAGCAGAAGAGGGGTGGGAAAACCCACACCCCTCTTAGAATTGTTTCTTTCTCATTCTTTCTATTTTTTTAAAGCATATTTATATGGATTATCTAGAAGAAATGAAGTCCCATTACAGAAGTGACCTGGGGGCCTGGGCACTCTGACAATGAGAACTGCAATCCCCAACTCTACTACCCTCCCTTTCCCAGGGAAGTGGTACCCAGAGAGAGTGAAATGTGGACCCTGCTATGGCCTAACTCTGATTGTCTGTTGTGATCATTGCTGGGTCCCAGACTCACAGCCTTTCTAGGCAGTGACTGAAGCCTGAACACCCTGCGGAAGAGCAGGGGTCGTTTCGGAGACAGTATTCCAGGGCACAGCTGGGCTCCTTTAAGGCCCTCCCTCACCATGTGAGAGTCCCACACTTCCCTTGGAAGCACTTGTTCCCACACCTTCCTTGGTAGATGTCTCTTTTGTGTTTTATAATTAATCCAGCCCTGTCCCAGATGAATTTGTCAGTCACTTTACAAACTATTTAGTTTTTTCCTCCCGCATCATTTATATGTGAATCAGTAACTCATCTAATGCAAGGTTGGCTTCTTAGTGTGCAAGGCAGATTGTACGTCCTTGTGCTCAGGCCCAAGCCCCTGGTGTCACAGGCTGGCAGGAAGGCTTGTCTGAGCAGAAACTAAAGTCTGAAGGGCCAGTACATGTGTGTTACATGGTGACTTTTGATTTTCTGCCTGACTGCCAGCTACTGGGATGGGGAGGACCTTCTGTTCACTGGAGCTGATTGTAGAGCCTGTGCTCAGTGCTGGGGACAAGAACTCCATGGGGACTCAGAAGGAGCAGAGGAGCACATCCCTGGGGACAGTAGAAGAGGCTCCCAAAGAGGCTGACACTGAGATAGGGAGATACTGGGCACAAGGGAAGGTCTTTGGCATAAGGGAGTGGAGGGCAGGTCCCATGGAGTGTCCAGGATAGCAAGTGACCTGAAGGGATGTGCCAGTGTCAGAGGGAAGCAAGCATTTGCTAGAGTTTATGCTCAAATCACATCACATGTTCTCCCACTCCCCCGCAGATGAACTTAGGTATTGCCAGGACACGTGTGCTGTTCCTGTACACTGGTGCATGGTCTCCTATTGGTCAGGGCCCCCACAGTAACAGAGCCAGGAGGAGATACATCTGTCTTGGGAAGGACCATCTATGTCTCCAAGTGATCAGTTCATGCACAGGTCTCTCCCAGAATCACCTGCACAGACACACCCAGAAATGTACCGTGGTGTCCACACTGTCTTGTGTAGCTACAGAGAGTTTTTGATTTTCATTACTGAATTTTATAGTAAGAAAACACCAAAGTTGCTTTGTTTTGTTCTATTGACTTGTTTCCCGCTATTACAAATAAAGAATCTGGAGGAAATGGTTACTATTTCACCAGTAACCATGATGTTGCTTGTAAAGTTACCGTGAATGACCTTTATTGGATTATGGAAGTTTCTTTCTATTCCTAGTTTGCTGAGAGTTTTTATCAAGAGTGTGGATGAAGGGCGGTGCCTGTGGCTCAGTGGGTAGGGTGTCGGCCCCATATAACAAGGGTGGTGGGTTTGAACCTGGCCCCGGCCAAACTGCAACAAAAAAATAGCCAGGTGTTGTGGCGGGTGCCTGTAGTCCCTGCTACTTGGGAGGCTGAGGCAGGAGAATCACCTAAGCCCAGGAGTTGGAGGTTTCTTTGAGCTGTGTCACCATAGCACTCTACCAAGGGCAGTAAAGTAAGACTGTCTCTACAAAAAAAAAAAAGAGTGGATGAAATTTTTGCAGGTACTTTTTTCCTATCTGTCAAGACATAAATACAGCAGTACCTCCATAGCTGACCACCTCCCTAAGTTGACCTAATTTTCATAGATCAGATATGCACCACATGTATGTACCAGTAAGTAGACCTAGTTCCTTACGTTGACCTCCATATGTGAGGAGCTTGTTACAGTCCCTTGGGTGGTCATTTTAGAGATTCTACTGTATTTTTTCAATTAATTTCAGTTAATTACATTACTTTGAAATTCCAAGTCAATTTTGCATGTCTAGGATTGAAGCCCACTTAATCCTGATGTATTCTGTGTGTGTGTGTGTATATATATATATATATATGTATATAGCTGGACTAGACTTGCTAATATTTTGTTGAGGATTCTTACATCTGCCTTCATGAAGAATATTAGTTTCTAATATTAGTTTCTTACAGTGACTTTTGGTTTTGGTAACAGGGCTGTGCTGGATTCATAAATGAACTGGGGTGTTCCGTCATCTGCTGGTATCTGAAGGAGTTTAGTTTTATCAGTGTTACTCAACTCCTATGTTTAATAGGATTCACCAGGAAAACCATCTGGACCTGGAGTTTTCTTTGTGGAAATGTTTTAAAATTACAAGTTCAGTTTACTTAATAGATACAAAGTTTGGGGATTTTCTATTTCCTCGTTTGTCTGGCTTGGTGTGTTTTTTAAGGAATGTCTCTATTTCAACAAAATTACCTAATTTATTCTTATAAAATTATTTATAGTATTACTATATTATTCTTTAAATTTCTTTAGATTTATAGTTAGGTTTCCTCTTGAATTCTTATTTGTAAGTTATGCATTGTTATTTTTGATACGAATTTATTATTTTGTTAATGTTTTCAGATATCTTTTAGGTTGAATTTTTTCAAGATATTTTTTGGTTGAATTTTTTATTTGGTATCTTGATTTCCATTCATATTCTTTTTTTTCTATTTAAACTCAACATACTATTCTATTCTTGATTTCCATTCCTATTCTTTTTTTTCTATTTTGGACTCAACATACTTTTCTATTCTAGCTACTCTAGCTGTCCTTTTCATATAAATAAGTTAAACTAGTAAGTTTCCATTAAAGCAGTGCTTTACCTGTAGCCGATAATATATAGTATATTTTCTTCCATTATCATGCAATTTAAGATAGTTTCTAATTTTCCATAGGAGCCCTTTTTAAAAAAAATACTTTATTTACAAATAGGTTAATTAATTTCTAAATATTTGAGGGTTAAAAAAATACATTACTACTACTGGTATACGTTTAATTCTTTTGTGATCAGACAACCTCTTCTGTATGAGTTCAGTCACTTGAAATGTATTGACACTGACCCTGTCTGTGGTCTACTTTGGTGAATATTTCAGACGTGTTTGAAAAGAATGTGTGTTTTGTAGATCTGGGGTGGTGGTCCGGCCACACAGACTGAGAGCAGGTGAGGAGGTGGCTCCACAGAGACGATTTGGGATCGCATTTCCCAGAAAAGGATGAATAAATGCTGAGTTTAAAAAAAATTGCAGCTATGCACCCTGGTAACTGATGCTCCCCCCACCCCCATTTCTGGCTAGCCTTCAGATCTCCATCTCTTCTACTCTTCCTCCCTGGAGGCTCTTTTGGTCTCATACCAGCGGTACAGGCAGAGCACATCTAATAGCGCGTCTGCCGAGCCAGACCCTGCAAACATCCATTCCTTCTTACCCCCTCCCAGGTCCTCCAGCCCCCCCACAAGATGTCACCATCCAAGCTGGGGCCAGCCCGGCCACCATCCAGGTCTCCTGGAAACCACCTGTGCTGACTCCCACTGGGTTGTCCAATGGAGCCAATGTTACTGGCTATGGCGTGTACGCAAAGGGGCAGAGGGTAAGTCTGGCTCTGAGGGGTGTGAGCACTTAGTGTCTAAGTGCAGCAGGGTCTGAAGATGTGTGCTCAGGGGAGACAGGTGAGGGGTGATTCTTGGAGCATCCTCAGGCCCCACCCTTCCAGCTAGAACACATCTGTATATTGGGATTTCTTCATCCATTTTGGGCCCCTTCCTCCTTTCTAGCATTTTCTCTCTCTCTCTCCCCTTACTGAGCTTCTTGCTTCTCTCTCCTTCTTGCTGAGCTCCTGGCATTTTTTTTCTCTACCCAATATTTAAAAATTCATCTCCAGGCTCACACCTCTAATCCTAATACTCTGAGAGGCTCAGGCAGGTGGATCCCTTGAGGTCAGGAGTTCGAGACCAGTATGAGCAAGATCGAAACCCCATCTCTAAAAACTAGCCAAGCTTTGTGGCAGGTACCTGCAGTCCCCGCTACTCAGGAGGCTGAGGCACGAGGATTGCGGGAACCCAGGACTTTGAGGTTGCTGTGAGTGATGACACCATGGCACTCTACCAGGGCATTAAAGTGGGAATCTGTCTCAAAAAAAAAAAATTCACCTCCTTCAAGTATTCCAATATCAGAGCCTTCCCCATCAGTGCCTGGCTTATTAATTTCAATAGACCAGTCGTAAGCAAGATGTTACCAATGGCCAAACGTGAGTCCCTCCTTGGAAACACTGCAGAGTTTGAATAGGTGACTAGGCCTTGATGCCAAGAAACAGGGGCATCCCAGTGCTCAGTGGAGGGGACCCACATGGCAGTCCTCCATTCCTGCCTATCCGGAAGCAGAAGCGTCACCCTTGGGGAAGACTTGAGAAAGCTTCTGTGCCTCTTGGTCTCCACCAGCCTCCCCTTTGGGAAGAATCTCAGTACCCCTGAGTGGCCTCTGGCTGCCCCAACCACCTCCTGTGGGCTCTTGGCTCTTCCCTCTGTGCCCTGCGACATAGGAAGCCTCCAGGACAGGCTTCAGCCCTCAGGGCCCATGTCGGCCTCTGCCCAGGGTGGTAAACTCAATGTCAGACACCTCTGTGGCCCCTGCATCTATTCTGAGTGGGTCCAGAATATGGGAGATGAATGGTACTGCAGGTCAGCTGTTCTAAACTTTGCCAGCCCGTTGAGGCCCCCACGCCATGCAGTGTGGCTGCACTGGGCTGTGGCTGGCCCAGTTGGCCATGGGGCCTTGCTGGGGGCCGGCCAGCAGGCTGTAAGCCGACTCTTTCTGTGCAGGTGGCTGAAGTCATCTTCCCCACGGCAGACAGCACAACAGTGGAGCTCATGCGGCTACGCAGCCTGGAGGCCAAGGGCGTGACTGTGCGCACCCTCTCTGCGCAGGGGGAGTCGGTGGACTCTTGCATTGCTGCCATTCCACCTGGCCTCCTGGTGTCCCCACCCCCACACCCAAGGACTGCTCCTGCAGCAAAGCCACTAGCCAGTGTTGGGGCCCCAGATACCAAAGATGAACACTTGGGTCCCCACGCCACAGTGGATGATTCCTGGGAGCAGGGCCGCACCCACGCCCCTGTGCATGGGCACACATTGGAACCGCCGGGGCTGCCTGGCTCAGGGAGACGGTCACCCTCGCCCAGCCGGATCCTGCCACAGCCGCAGGGGGCCCCAGTGTCCACCTCTGTCGCCAAGGCCATGGCCCGGGAAGCTGCTCAGAGAGTGGCCGAGAGCAGCAGGGTAAGCTGGGTTTCCCCTTCAGTGGCCCCTCTAATGCTGGAGTGGATTCTGTCCTTGAACCCAGGGGGCAGCCAACAGTACATGCATGAGCACTGCCTTGCAGGCTTGTTGGGCAGGGGCTGAGCACCCTCCTCTTGGACTTTCCTTTGGGACCATGTCTTGTGCCTGGTCCTGGGTGGACTGAGTTGCATTTAGTCCCAGACAACTGAGGAAATGCCGGGGCCTGCCTTAGAGAGCAGATGAGACAAAGCCATGAGGGGCTCTGGTTGGTGCTATGGCATCTGAGGGTCTGCCAGGGAGGGACCTGTCCTCCTGAGTCCTGGCTGGGGCATGTGTGTGTATGCAGACACATGTAGATATTACATATCTTTACACATACTTGCCTATATAGGGATATACACAGATACACATGTGCATATCCACATGCCTGTAATGGGAGAGTTTCAGGGTCAAGCAGGGCAGGAGCGTTTGGATCCTGGTAGGGCCGTATTCAACCTGATGTGTAAAATGAGATATGAAGTTGTAAGAATCTCCTATTAAGTGATGCTTCCCACCTAGGACTTGGGGGGGGGGGTAGGACCTCAGCCAGACCATGTACCCCTCCATGCCTGGGACAAGCCTCCTCCCTCTTATTTGTGGGGAGCCCAAGTTTCTACCTTGGAGGCAGCAGCACAGCCCCTGGTCAGGGCCCTCAGCACCCCCTGGGCAGCCTGTGAGGCCTCACTAGGATGGTGACCCCTGGAGAGATGGCTATGTTGAGCTGGGACACAGTCCACTTCTGGGCACCACACCCCAAGAGGATGGAGCCAAGCATCATAGGTGACATCAGGGAGGACAGAGAATGAACAGCGGCTTCCCAGGGCTTCCCTGGCCCTGGCCCTGGCCTTCTGGGTGCATCTGGACAGGCAGTGCCCTAGTGCTCCTTGAAAAATCAAACATTCAGACTTTTTTGTGAAATCTCTGAATTTGTTCAACATTGGCCACTATCACCTAAAATGAACAACATGAAATTGTTACCTTTGACTAAAGGAAGCTCTTCAGAATGTACAAATTCATCATGGCTCTGATAGGCTCACTGGAGCCCCAGGCCTTGATCTTGGGAGTTGGTGATTTTGGGTGGAGCCCAGGGAAGAAGGGGGTGGCAGAAGCATTGCTCCTCTGCCTTTTTATGTGTGGCCATTACTCCTCCCTATTAGGCCCTCACAGAGGCCCTGGGGGTAGGACAGCATGGTGCTGTCTCTTGTACAGGGCTAGAGAGAAAGCAGATACTTCCAAGTTTCCAGAAAATGTTAATTGATAAAATTAAAAGTCGGGCCCAGGTGGTGAATGGAGGGGGATGGGATTTTCATTTATGTCCATGTATCACCTTGAGCAAAAATGACTTGGCTGAGTGTGGGGTGCCTGCTATCCCACAGCTACCTAAACAGAGTGGGGAGCCCTGGGACAAGGAGTGGGTGCTCAGCCAGCTTGAGGGGCGGCGCTGCTGGGCTTGGCGAGTGGAAGGAGCTGTGCCAGCAGTGGGGCCGGCATGACTGAGGGGGCTCTGGGGGCTCTTCTGGCCCCTGCTGAGCGCTCAGCCCTGCATCTCCTTTCTCTTTCCAAGTTAGAGAAAAGGAGCATCTTCCTAGAAAGGAGCAGCGCAGGGCACTACGCCCCCTCAGACGAGGAGGACGGCTACGACTCCCCTGACATCAAGAGGAGAGGGGCCTCTGTGGATGACTTCCTGAAAGGGTCTGAACTCGGCAAGCAGGTGAGCACTGTTTGGCCCATGTCATCAAGTCCTGCGGGACAGCAGCTTGGGACAGGTCTCTTGGAAATCGAGAGAGAAAGGGACTTCCTGGACACTGTTGGGTACATGAGAGAGGTGGAGAGATGTCAACGTGGGTCACGACATTCACACTAGATTTTTAAAGTTTATGCTTAACTATGCCTGTATATAACCTTGTTTGGGGACAATTTCAAAAATCTGAATGTGAGGCTTCCATCCTCCCCTATCCCTCCCTGCTGGTGTCCAGTTTTGGGGGTCAGTCCTGGGTAGCCCCCATGTACCCCCTGTTCTCCATTTAGGCAAAACCTACCATTTGTGTATTTGCTTCCATGAATTGGGCAGATATTTTTTGGACATCTGTTCTGTACTAAGCATCATGGGAGACTCAGAATTAAACAGTTGGCATCCTCCCATCAGAGGGAGGCTCAGGAGTCACACATTCTGCTGATCTGGAGGCTGTCTGATCCCGTGTATTGTAATGGAAATGCGCCTGAATGGTGGGAAGCACTGAAATTAGACAAAGGAGTGACTGGAATAGCCAAGAGCCTGGATCACCCAATGCCCTCCTACTTGGAGGTACTTACTTCTACAGCAAGGTACCTTCACGGCCAGACAGGGAGGGGGCTTGGGGTCCCACAGACCTGGAGTCACCTCCCAGCTCTGCCCCTGCTGGTCCCAGCACCGCATGTCGTCAAGCCACCAGCTCCTCTGAGTGAGGGTCTTCATCTGTAAGCTTAAATCTATTTGCATTAATTTTAGCATAAGATACAGAATGCCCTGCTAACCGTGACTAAGATGACAAAGATATTTAATCACCCTAAGTCAGAAGTCTGCACTAGGAGGCTGCAAGGTCAACTCAGCTGCTCATTTGTGTCAGGGTTCTGTCTCTTCCTTCTCTTGGCCTTTCTCTCATGGTCAGAAAGTGGCTGCTGCAGGCCCAGTTATCATACTCTTACGTGACAGAACTCCAAGGAAAAAGGAAATGGGGGTGTGTGTGTGTCAGGCTTCCATCCAATCGGATGTCCCACTGCCTCTCCCTGAGTAGACTGAGGTCACATGCCCCCTACTCCCATGGGAACTGGGTTCCTGCAAATGCCTTACCGACAAAGATTCATTCCCTTGGTGCTGGGCACCCGGATGCACCCACGTCTGGTAATACAGGAAGAAAAATGAGATTTCCTGTTGACTGTTGTACACAGACCAGGTGGCTTGGACAACAGAACTTTTTCTCACTGTACTGAGGTTAGAAATCCAAGAGCAAGGTGCTAGGAGGGTGCTTGTCTCCTGAGGCCTCTCTTTGGCTTCTCCCTGTGACCTCCCATGGCCTTTTTTCTGTGCATATCCCTGGTGTCTTGTCTTCTTTTTCTAAGGAAAATGTATTGGTTCAGGGTTGTACCCTCATGACCTTATTTAATCTCAATCACCTCTTTAAAGATCCTAACTCCAAATCAGTAGTTAGGGTTTCAACATATGACTTCTGGGGGTGGGGGCGGGCAATGTGTGAATTAGCCTACAACGAATGTGGACCAGCGCTGTCTGCTGCTGTAACACTGACCGGACTCGGCTTCGCGTGTGCTATAGAGCACATGGCACACACCTGGCACACAGTGAGCTCTCAGTTTTAATACACAGAGAAACTGAGGCCCTCAGAGCCAGAGGTGTGTTGCTCAAGTTTGCACAGCTGGCTTTATGATAGAGCTAGGATTAGATCAAAGGCTCTGTCTACAGGATTCCTGTTTCTGTGCCTTTCCCAATAACCGTGATTCCTCTGCCTACCCAAGTGTGGGTCCTTATGTTCTCTGACTCGCTGCTCAGGGTCAGTCCAGAGGAGGGGCTAGAGCACAGTTCTCTGCATGTGGGACCCAAGACACTGTTGTGTTTTGAGATGAGCTGTCACATGCCAGCCACAGTAACGGAGCCACTCAGCCCTTGGAACATGGCTTTTGCAACCAGGGCATACAATTTTTACTTCTGTAAATGAGTTGCAGATGAGTTTAAATTTAAACAGTCACACGTGGCTGGTGGCTATGTTATTGGGCACCTAGTTCTGAATGACTGCACCTGCTACAAGAGCTGATTGTTTTAACTGAGTGTAGACACATACAGAACTCATTCTTTTCACTTTGCAGTTGGGTTTAATATGTGATTAACATTTCTTTAGTACGTGTTTTATTTCCATTTTTAACAAAGAGCAAACAGGTCTCACTTTCTAGTTTCAGTGTAGTATTGCTTTATGTTTTGTTTCGTTTTTTGAGACAGTCTCATTGTCGCCCTTGGTAGAGTGCTGTGGTGTCACAACTCACAGCAACCTCAAACTCTTGGGCTTAAGCTATTCTCTTGCCTCAGCCTCCCAAGTAGCTGGGACTATAGGTGCCTGCCACAATGCCCGGCTATTTTATTGGTTGCAGTTGTCGTTGTTTAGCAGGCCCGGGCTGGGCTCAAACCTGCCACCTTCGGTATATGTGGCCGGTGCTTTACTCACTGAGCTATGGGTGCCAAGCCTATTGTTTTGTTTTTATATTTTTACGAAAAATATTTGTTTTCTAGTTATATTGATATGGTTTCTTTAAAATGATGTAATTAAATAGTGAGTTCAAAGGAGATAAATATACACACTATACGCACACACACAATAGAACCTCTGTAAGTTGACCACCCAACTTATTTGGCTTATAATGAACTCTCAGTATTAACACACAGGGAAACTGAGGCCTTCAGAGCCAGAGGTATTTTGCAAGAGACTGTAACAAGCATTTCATAATAACAAGTTGCTCCAATATTTGTTGAATGAATAAAAGAAGGAAGGAAGGCAGAAGTTAGCTGTTACCTTAATTCTCCTAATATTTCAAATGCACTTTCATGGTAAATCGACAAGGAGAAATGCTTGATATAACAATATATAATATAGTTATCTGTTAATTTTCCTCTCTTTTAAAAAAAATTTGGACTAATATGAGGGTACAAACGATTAGGTTACAGTGTTTGCATTTGTTAGGTAAGGTCCCTGTTGTAGTTGTGTCCTGCACCCAGGAAATGTGCCATACACCCTTACATTGTGACCAGCATGTGGGAGCATACCAGTCCTCCTCCCTTCTTCCCCCTCCCACCAATTGGAATTGAGTTTTTCTCTTATGTGGGCGTGTATTAGTTTGTCTGCTGGCTTCATATTGAGTACATTGGATACTTCTTCAATTTTTATTTTAAAGCATTTTATAGACAAAGATCGTATACGTTGAAGGGGGACAATGTGATGACTGGGTATGTATATACACTGCCAGTCGAATTCACCAGCACATCCATCAACACCCACGGAACATCAGGTCCCAGAACTTGTTTATCTTGTAACTAAAAGTGTGTGCCGTTGTTAAGTCTAAGGAGAGGAAAGAGGTTTTTAGGTGGGGGATTTCATTTGGGATTTTTATTTTGGTCAGAGAAAAAGTGGATTGCTGGACGGCAAGACTGAAGTTTGTTATAGTGATGTTTAAAGCCTCGTGGGATACCTTTATCTCAGCCCCTGCTGGCTGCTGGCTGAGGACATCTGTTTGGGTGCCAGTCCCAGGAAAGGGTATCTACCTGCCAGCATCTCAACTGTGGACTGAAGGGCAAGGCCATATGTCCCCCAAGGAAAATCACATTCTGGGTGGCATTTCTAAGGCCATGTCCTCTGTCAGCAGAGGCAGCAGGAGCATTTGAGCCTCAGGCCTCCCAGACCTGACCCCTGGCCCCAGTTGCATCTCTTACCAGATGGTCACCTTAAGCAAGGCCTGGACAGCCTGCTAATATGGTGCTCACCTGTTGTGCACAGCACCCTTCTAAGGACATAGAACTGACATGACGTCTCTGAACCCCTTCCATCCCACGAACTCATCTTTAAGTCGTCATTGGATTTGAACAGGATGAGGCTATGTTCTGGAGGCTATGCTGGGGACTTCCTCCCTGTCTGCCGTGGAAAACCTCCTGAAAGCCAGTCTGATCTTTGTTTAAATTCAGTTCACTTTTATGTCTTCCACTTGGCCCCTATCAAGAAGATTAGGGCCAAGTAGCTCAAATGCTAAGGTTGTGGACTGCTCAGCCGAGACACTCTGACCACCTCCTTATGGGTGCAGAGCAGGGGAATGCTCTGCTGAGCTTATGCACACCCCTGAGCAGATGCCAGCCAACTTGCTGTGACTGCAAGTGTTTATATATCTTTACCTAGGTTAGTCATTGAAACCCGGGTATTTTTAATGAATGTGTCACAGAATGCTATTAACTCCATTTATCTTGTGCCTACCAGCAAAATAAACTGTTCTTAATCAGCACCATGGAGTAAACCAGAGTATCTTTATGGATGTGTCACATTCATAAGTCTGAGCTCGTCAGAGTGTGTGGTTTGAGTTGCTGGGACTTATTTTGCTTTAAACACTCAAGTTAATGGCTGCTGAACTCAAGTGGCACCATCACTGCCAGAGCTGCTGCCAGGATCTCAAAGGTGGCATGTTAGCAAGTATCCTCTTAATCTTAAAACAGACATTTGGTGAAACCTTTTGCTCTGTCTCAGCCTTCTCCTGTCACCACCTTCCTCTGGTGTGGGGAGGCATGCAGCCTTCATGGAGGTTTCTACCCCCCACCAGACCAGGCTGAGTCCATGGGTGCCTGGTTCTTTCTGTACCCCCCAGTCCTTTCTGGTCGTGGTGTCCATACACCCACTATAACCACCCCCTCACCCCCCCAGCCACCAACATTCATATGTAATGCACAATCTGAGTCAAAACAAATTATCTGAGTCACAAACTTCTGGCTCAAGCCTTTGTCTAGCCACTAAGTTGGAGAAGCTAAGGGTGCCCAGAAGTGGAGCTTTTTGTGTGCATGTCTCATGAGCCCCAGGGGGAGTTCTGTCTTGACTAGAGCCCAAGTGTTTCTGTGCCTGCGGGAATTAGGGGACCCTCATCTGTCCCATCTGCTATTCTAACTCGTGGCATGGCTCAGAGGGGCACATCCTCTTTCCAGGCCTTATTCTCCTCACCCTAGATGAGTAGTGCCCACACATACCTGTACATGTCTCTAGACATTGAGCTCCAAGAGCTAGAGAAGAAAAAAGAAGGGACCTTTAGGACACCAGGGGAGCCTTCTGGAGCTGAGTTGACATTCCCTCTTCTTGGCCCCCAGCCCCACTGTTGCCATGGTGATGAGTACCACACTGAGAGCAGCCGGGGGTCTGACCTCTCAGACATCATGGAGGAAGACGAGGAAGAACTCTATTCAGAAATGCAGCTGGAAGATGGGGGTCGGAGGCGGCCCAGCGGCACATCCCACAATGCCCTCAAGGTCAGTGGCCAAGGGGAGGGCACTCAGGGCCCTCCACATAGTCCCAGAGCAGTTCCATCCTTGTCCCTTTGCTGGGGCTGGTATGGCTGGTTCCAGAGGGCCTCGCGGCCCAACCAGCAGCCCCTGGATTTGGATTTGCTTCTTGCTCACTATTGAATTTGCATTCAGGAGTTAGCTGTGTCTCCCAGTTTGGAGGAGGCCTCGTGGTGCCCTTCAGGGGGCCCAGTCAGGAGTTGAAGTGGGAGGAATAGAACAAAGGCAACTCCACCCCAGCAGCGGGTCTCATCCTGGAGAGAAGCAACCTCTGAGTCAGCCCTGAGACAGGGAGCGTGGTGGGCTGGGGAGCTGTGCAAGATCCCTTCAGAGGGAGGCAGGCATAGGACAAGCTCGGTGAGGTCAAGGGAAGGCTGGGTTGGGATGGTGGTCCCATGGACTAGTCACATGAGCCCCTCATGGCCAGGCTGGCGGGTTCATTGTCTTGCAAAGACCATCTCCCACTAGGCCCTGGCATGCCTCCCTCCCAGGGGAAGCTACCTTAAGCCTGGCAGGTCGGGTTCCCCTTGATCTGGTGACCTACCTTCCTTCCTTGCTGCTGCTGCTGATGGGCAGTGTGTTCCGGCTCCATGGAGCAACAGTGCCCAACCACCTCTGTGCACAGGCCCTGCACCAGGTTGCAGGGCAGCCCCTGTCCTCCAGCAGCTCCTAATCTGGTGAGGGAGACAGACAAAGGGCCAGGCCACTAGTAGGACCTTCTTAGGTTTTCAAAATGAAAGAGGTCTTGGAGAGGAAACTCCTGCTGGGGGTGAAGCCTCTGGTAGCACACTTCTCTAGGAACACAGAGCCGTGCACTTTGAATGGTGGACAGAGGCACATCCAAATCTGACCCTCTCAGCACCCACTTGCATAGACAGACTGACCTATGTTCTCCCAGCAGAGGCCTCTAGCAGGGCCTTGGGGATGTCTTGTCACCAAAGAACATGCCAGCTCCCTATGCAAAGCTTGCGTGGTTGCAGCTTGTATGCCATTCCTAGTGGCTCCTCCCTATCCATCAGCTCCCTGGGTAGCACCAATGAGCAGGATGCACCTGGCGTTTCCCGAGAGGTCCAACCTGACAACCCCCTTGCCCCCCGCAGCTCCCCATACTGTGCCTCAGAACCAAGAGCTACCTGGAAGTGCTCATGTGCAGGGCGAGGCATGCACCTGCTCTTCTGATGTGCTTGATGCTTTTCCTTTTGAGGGAGGAAGATCCTGGGGTGGTGCTTCCTGAGAATAGTTTAGCAAAGAAATAAAAAGTCATCTTATGTCCTTGGGAGGAGACCCAGAGAGCAAGCAGGTTGTCTACAAGGCCACCTGGCCCAGCCTCTTAGACACAGCAGTGTAGGGATCACAGGCAGGAGGGTAGCCGAGATGGTGGCAGGCTCACTACCGTGTTCTCACAATCAGAAACTGTTATAGGCTAGTCTGAACTTGTAGGTTCTCTGAGAAATTCCAAGATGTGGCTTAGAGGTCTGGCCTGGCTCGGCTCATAGTTCCACCTGGCATCAATTTACTGGTCTCCTGATGGGAAGGGTCACATGTTTGTCCCCGCCAGCCCAGTTCACTGATACCAAGACCCAGCTGCTGCAAAAACACTGTGGTGACCATCCCTGCACTCATGGATGGCTTGCTCTTGGTGTTCATCATGGTGATGTTGGTTGACATGCCTGAGTGTACACCCCAGAACATGGTTAGCAAAGGAGGAAGACAGACCTCAATCAGTCTGCAGAGTGAGTGGCCAGGTCCAGGCGCATGGCAGACCCCACACCCAGTAAACCAATGCGACCCTGATGGGAGCTGGTAGGTAGCCAGTGCATGTACAAAGGGGAGGCAGGGGTACACCAGGCCTGGAGAGTCAGCCAGGGTACCCAAGGAGAGGCAGTTAGGAGTGGCTATCAGCATGAGGTCTCGTTTTTCGGCCAGAGGGTGAGTTTGAGGGCTGTTTCCAGCAGAAAGCAGGATACTTGTGGAGACACATCAGTGTGAGTTCCCCTGAATTTATATGGAGCTCCAAGTGTGGCCTGCTCTGTGCTTGGCATGGGAGACCATGATGCCTCTGATAGTCTGTGCCTCTGGGGGCCTCCAAGCATAGGATGCAGAGGACAGGTAGGCAGACCTCAGGCCTCTGCCCATGCCACCCAGAACCACTGCATGAGGGCACTACTCTGGGGTACTAAGTGACAAGGTGCCTGGTTTCATGCAGCTTCTATTTTAGCCAAGAAGAAAGGTGATAGGTCAGGAGAACAAGAAGGACAGATTTAAGAGGGTGCTCTGGGGGCAAGGAAGAAAACAGACCAGGAGACAGGCAGGAACCAGCCAGGGTCCCCGTGAAGCCAGCGTAGTCAGTTGGCATCCGATGGCGATTGCCTGGGGGTTCTGAGGACACAGCAGCGGCGTTGGGTGCCTAAGGTCCGCCTCCACAACAGGGCCTAGTGCTGCAGCCCCGCCCCCAGCTTGCTGCATGCCTCTGCTCACCTGTCTGCTGCAACCCCCAAGCCACCCTTGGCTATCCCACCCGTCTGCTGCACCTTGCTGGAGCATGCTGGCCCAATAGACGCAAAGGCTGCGTCCACCCCACCTCAGAGACTAACTCGTGTGTGTTTTCTCCCTTGCGCCCCCCCTCATGTGCGGTCGCGGTCACGCCCTGCCCTCCCTGCACCCACCCCACCATGCCAACCCCCAAGGAGTGCTCCGAACATAGGACCTCCGAAGGCGTGTTCTCGGAGCAGCAGCCCCCGCGCGGAAAGAGGCTTTTCAGTATCCCCGAAGTAGCGGAGGAGGAGGCCGAGTGCTGCGAGCTGCACAAGCAGGGCCTTGGGGCGGCCACCAGGGCACGGGTGCCGCTGCTTGGAGAGCCCAGGCGCTCCAGGCTGCGCAGGGGGAACGAGGCCCCGCGGGGCTTCTGGCTCTCCGAGGACAGAGGCTGCCGGCTCAGCCGCTCGGCCGCCAGGAGCCCAGACAGTGGCCTGGACTGTGGCAGCGAGGAAGAGCTGCGCCCTGGCCTGGGGAGCACCACGGCCACTTGCCCCCCAGGGCACTGTCCCTGCGCTCGGAGCCCGCGGCCCTCGCTGGCCAGGCGGCGCACGCTGACCCGGCAGAGCAGCATTGAGGAGGACTTTTGGGAGCAGGAGGACCCCAGCGCCGTCCTCAGGGGCGACGACACCCAGCCTGGCCCCGAGAGGCCCGCGCCCAGCAAGCACGGCTGGGACGAGCCCGCAGAGCGCCCAGACTTGCGGGGTGTCCGGAGGAACAGCGTAGCAATGCCCGACAGCGGGATGCCAGAGAGTAGGGCCGCTGCCCAGCGCGCAAAGCCGGCTCCCAGAGTGGCGCAGGGCCCTTTGGTGTGTGACGTAAACCGCCTTTCACCTCCACTTGCCAAAACAATCCTCTTCATACTTTCATTAATTTTTTGGTTGTTTCTTTTCTTTTTTTTGGTGTCCATCCTTGGGGAATCCTTGCTGGCTCTCTTTAGTTTTCCCTGCATTTTTGATTTATTAAGTCCCATTCGCTTCCCAGTCTTTGGACCATGCTGAAGATTTCTTTACTTTGCTTTAGACTGATGATTTCCCCACCTCCAGAAGCAATGATGATTGTGGCTGCTTTAATTAAAGGACAACTGAATCTAAATTTTAATTAAGGGTTAGCTGAACCGTGATTTACTTAAAAGCTTGGCAACTTTTTTTTTTCAAAATGATCCAAAGGGACTTATCTATTAGTATTACTGAAGGTTTCCCCCTTGTTTTTGATCTTTATAACTGAAAAAAAAAAACAAACAATTATTGAGAAGTCTGTTTTTGCATATTGTTTCCAAGGTATTTTTGTTTTTTTTATTGCTGATTCTTTTCGGCAACCAGTTTCCGAAATGAAGCTTCCATTGTCAACCTTCACCTGTGGGTGTAGATACACCCCATCTCCTGCCTTCTGTTAGTGGGTTGGAGAGTAGGGATTCATTCAAGGCGTCATTCATCTCTACATTGTGTCCTCTTTCCAGAACATTTGCTCCTGTCATGCTGACCTTTCCATTGCAAACACAGGTGAGCCATCCACGTGGTGCCAGGCCTCGAGTCTGAGCCCATGAGCTCTGGGATGGGTCCACGAGAGGCGCTGACCCACACCCCGGGGCTCCCCGCCAGCCGCCTGCAGCCAGCACACCCGGGCACCGTTCACTCCTGTGTTCCTGAGAACATCCTCACTCAGTTGACTTACTAGTGAGCTGGAGGTTTTGCTTTAATTCTAACCTTCGGTCTAAGTTAGAGGTGAGCTTACCCAGAGAGGAGATCTAGCCAGGTGGGCCCTAGAATCTCATCAGCATCTTCAGATTAGCACTAAGAGGTTGCCCTGAGTTTCAAAGATTTCGTCTTTGGATTTTTGGAGCCTCTCATACAACTTTTATCCAGGCAGGACTTTTGGAGTTATAGAATTTTCCCCCACTTTTGTGAACAGCTGCCGGGAAGTGGGGCAGGGCACATGGAAACTGGGCAGGGGTGAAAGTGGTCAGAGGTGCCCATGGCAGGATGAGGTGTGTGAAAACTATTGGCACTTTGGTGCAAGGTATTTGGCTTCAGCGGCAGTAGCAGCAACAAAAGGAACCTCCCCAGTAGTTACTTTTTGCCCCTGCCTTACCGCATGTCAAACTGCTAAGTGGACGTAGAAAATGGGGTGCTGGGTGACAGCTTTGTTCTCTTCCAGGTCATTCAGCTAACCTTTCAGTTAAAAGCTAAGTTTAGTTGCCTTTAGAGCTTCTGCTTCTCAATCAAATTGATTTGGCTAACTGAATTCTTTTCTCCCAGGGCTGGCACAGCTTACGACTTTCTTGTTGTTTTATCTTTAGATCTTAGGAAACCCAGCGTCTGCAGGACGGGCAGATAGGGTGGATCACATGGGACGGAGGTTTCCCCGAGGCAGTGCTGGTCCGCAGCGGTCCCGGATGAGGCCTGTCCCGTCCATCGGTCAGTGGCCCCACAATTGCCTCTCTCTTTCCACTCCAGAGCACGTGATTGCTTGGTCCTCTATTCAAACATGTGAAAAACATTTCTTAGCAGTAGCATTTTCAGCTAAATACAGAAAACTCTCGGTTATTTACTGTATCTAGAGGGCAGTAGCAGCACGGCATGATAAATAAAATGTTTTATGGATATTCTCATAGTGTATCATATTGGCTTTTTATGTCAGTCTTCTCCCTACCCACTTTTCACTGGAGACCTTCACAGAGTAAGTGCTGATGGGGTTGCCTTGTGCCATCTGCTTGCCCTGGCTGGGCTCTCCTAAAATGCTTGGGGCCAAAGCCCAAGGTAAGTGGGCCCTGAATAACCGAGAGTTGTCTGTGTGAGTAGGACATGTGGGCAGGTAGCAGCCAAACGTGGCCCTGAATGTGTGCCCCCCTCATCTGTCTGGTCACTTTCCCACTCCCAAGTCATTACCTGGCCTTGTTTCCATTCTCTTAACTACTTTTTGGAATTTAGCCATTCATGCTGAAAGCAGTTATTTCAGCCATCCTACTCAATTTGTTCAGAGGGGCCATGTGGCCAAAGGCAGGATGGTAATACTCAAATTATTGGAAATGGATCGTGGCAGCAGCAATTCCAAAAAGTACCATGCACAAGATAATGGAAGCTGGTAATCAACACAAACTAGCCTCTTGTGAAAACACACATACACATGAAATGCAGCAATGAGAACTGTTAACAGAAATAGATGAAAGCCAAACATCCAGATTTGGCATTACAGGGCTGGAGGAAAACAATGTCCAGGTCATCTAGGCCATCATATTCAAATTGTAAAAGAGAATTGGTCATCTTTCCCAGCAACTCAAAATGAAGAAAAACCTTATAAAGCAAAACAGATCCTCTAAAATGGTTTTCTTTCACACATTTTTAAAAATATAATTCAACAATAGGGAAAAGAATTGCCATTTTTATAGTGCTATTATTTATTTATGGAGACAGGGTCTTGCTCTATAACCCAGGCTGGAGGGCAGTGGAACAAGAGTAGTTCACTGCAGCCTTGACTCTTGGACTTAAGCACTCCTCTTAACTCAGCCTCCAAGGTAGCTGGGACTACAGGCACATGCTACTACAGCCGGCTAATTTTTTGACTTTTTTGTAGAGAGAGGGTCTTGCTGTGTTGCCCAGGCTGGTCTTAAAGTCCTGGCCTCAAGCGACCCTCCCGCCTTGGCTTCCCCAAGTGCTAGAATTACAGGTATGTGAGCCACTGTGCCCAGCCCTAGAATGTCATCAATACAAATTCCATAGAATGTTAAAGATCATTATACAGTATATTCAGTTAACTGAAAGATAACAAAATATACACATACTCAAAACATTGATTTTTGCTTATAGATCAACTAGCAGTTCCATATATTGTATGCTGAGCCTAAATTCCTCTGGAGCATTCCAAACCTACAGTCCCATCTCTCACATATTCATGTTGTGTGTAAATCCTTCTGTAACAACTACAGAGCTTATGTAGGTTCTCCCCGTTCTCAGGTCATGTGACCTATTAGAGACTTCCTGTCATGAGGAGCCATGTAGGTGAAGGGGCAGCCTTTCTGCCAGGGCTCCATGTTGTTCTTCTGCTCTTGAAGCTGGTTTCAAGTTTTCTTTTCACTGTAATTTTAGTGAGTGAAGACAAGCCTTGCTCATTAAGTACTCTGTTGAGGTTCAAGCCAGGGACAGGCAATGGTGTGGGCAGTGGGAAAGGGTGTCCGTTCACAGAGGCACGGCGGGCCTTCCATTCTAGTCTCCTGGGCTGGGAGCTGATCATGTGACACATACCCACTTGAGCAAGAAAGCCAAGGTGACGAACCTCTGTGTGTACAGTCTTGCCAGACTGAGCCTCGTCTTCAGAGAGCCTCAGACAATGCTGCTTCGGTTAGATTTCTCTTACGGTAAAAAAACTCAAAAGGGTATATACAAGAACTTTTGTTAAATTGGTTGAAGAGAGAGCAATTCTGTGTTAACCCCTTAAAGAAAAAGCCTCTTAATAATGTAACTCAAAACAGTGTTAAGTAATAAAGCAGTTAGAGATTTAATTGTACAGACTTATATGCCCCACACAACCTAAGTGGAAACAGTTTACACGTACACATTTGTACATATGCATACCATGGTACCTATTCTATTTCAGAAGAAAACAAAATGAAATTGTCACCTACTGTAAGGATGAGGAGTCTAAGGTGACTGGCCCGGTGAAATGAATGGTCAGTGATGTTTGAACAGACAGTATTTTCCTCTTGTTCTCAGTTCTACTGTTCTTGTGAAAATATTAGAAAATATTTTAGAAATTTGCTATCTTCCAAAAATATCACTTTTCTTTCTTAGAGGAAATCAAGTGTGTAAACCACATGATTCCTAAGTGTATTTTTAATAAGCAGTGGTTCCACAATTAAAAACATTGCAACTTTTAATATTCTCGTGTTCCTGAAATTAAAGGAAAAAGACGCAGTGTTCTTTGGGATTTAAAAACCACAGTTTTATAGTTCCATGTCTAATAAATTCTAAATCATATAATCAGCATAAAGTGTCTATCTGAACCTTGACAGACATGTCCAGAGACATATTTAATTGGGTTTGTTTATTCCCTTTTTTGGACCTTGCCTCAGCCTCCTGAGTAGCTGGGACTACAGGCGCCCACCACCACATCTGGCTAGTTTTTCTATTTTTAGTAGAGACGGGGTCTCACTCTTGCTCAGGCTTGTCCGGAACTCCTGAGCTCAAGCTGTCTACCCACCTTGGCCTCTCAGAGTGCTGGGATTAGAGGCGTGAGCCTCCACACCTGGCCTTCCCTTTAGTCTTTGGTCTTTGTGTTTATTGAGTTCTTTACCTGTCAGGCAGGAGGCTAGAAGGTTTGCTTTTCTAAAAACTTCACCACAGTTGTGAGGATTCTATTCTCAGAGACTGAAAATTTCCTCTATTTTCTCTCACTTTTTGTGATTTTGGCTACTGAGCTTACAGAATGAGGAAGTACAGCCCATTTCCTTTTGTGTCCAGAGAGAGAAGAACAATGAAAAGATAATAACTTCATCAACAAAGGTTGGTCCTTTAAAAAGAGAGAGAGAATGGAGAACTCTTTCCCACAGGTTTCCCCACAAGGAAAAAAATGAAAAGCTGTGAAGTATGTTTAATAGATGATTCCCTTTCTCTCCGTAGAAATTACAGTGGACAGTAGCAGTGAAGGCGGTTGGTCTCGGTCAGGTAGTGAGGGCCACATCCCGCCTGTGCAAGACGGTGCTTATTCCCGCAGCACCGGGGGACTCAAGAGCCGACCCAGGTGGCGGGTCAGGAGCCCTGACCTGCCTGCCCTCCCTCACGGTACGCAGCCTTTCCTCTTCCTCCCTGGCAAAGACCCACCCAACCCCCGGGGCCAGGATACTTCCACAGCAGGGCAGGGCAGCGCCCACTCCCTCCTGGGTCGGCCCCAGTGCAGGTAAGTGCTCCCTTCAGCCCAGCCTGCCACTGGACAAGCCCCAGCTGCTCACTCCCATCTCTGGCAAAGTCAGATTTCCACAGGCACATCCCCCCCCCTACACACACAGCCTGGGCTCTCCCCACCAAGGTCAGGTGCCCAGGAGATACAGAGCACCCTCTCTGGGAGAACATGCAGTGGGGTCACCTCATACTCATACTTTTATTCACACACTTTCAACTGCAAGACTCACCTCCACCCTCACCCACACCACCCCCAAAACACACGGAGGAGAGAATGTCTCAGTGTGGCAGTTCTCCTCTGGGTGGGACACTGGCCTGAGAGACCCTTTGGTCTCTACCTCATTGCTTCCTGTGGGATGGTCACTTGTCAGGGTCCATGCGATTTGGGGCTTGAAGATGTAAAAGTTCAGTTTTCCACAGATCATGGTCCTCGAACCTAAGCCATCTACTGAGAAAACACGCTCCTTGATACACTGCTGGAGTAACGTAGGGGATACTTCAAAGGAAGATGCTGGCCATACCCAACTCTCTCTCTAGGCTCAGACGTTAGCATCTGACACCCTTGTGTGCTGTGACACATAAACTCAGCTGGAGAAATGCTGTAGCCAGCAGCTTGTGGACGTGGGCAGTGTCCACAGCTGGGGCTGCACTCTCTAGGTCCCACCCACACTGGTGCTCAGCTCCTCCTGCAGACCTCCCGCTGATGCTGCCTGACTCGAAAATAAGCCCCACCCCAGAGGCGTGGGGTTCTCTGCCGCTGTCTGTGAGCAGAAGGGGTTGCCCACCCCAGAGGCATGGGGTTCTCTGCCGCTGTCTGTGAGCAGAAGGGGTCGCGCCGCTGCACACGGGACTCAGAGACTGCCGAGGGCTTCACTCCAGCTTCTCTCTGTATTTATTGTAGATAACATTTGAAACTAGGAAAAAGTCATTGGGTCTTTCCTCTGAGTATCAATAAAACTAGTGTGAAGAAATGAGTGAGACCAGCAGTGGAAATGTTTTGTTCCCTAGCAGAAGTTAAATTACTGAATTTTTAGATTATTTAGGCATTCTAAAAAGATCCTGGATTTCAGTAATGTAAATAACTCACTACGTTTTCAAGATCAACCTTTCCTGCAGCTAAAGTGCTTTTGTTTTTAAACTAAACTTTTCCTTTCTTTCTTGTTTTTGGCTGGTGAAAGATGCTGATTGCTTGGTTCTTTCTCTACACCTGCCCTGTCCTTTCTGCACACCTGTGTCCTCCCATCCCATGCCTGTGTTCCTTGTGCTGGTGACAGAAGTTCAGACTAGGCTGTTTTCCCCAGCCCTGCCTTCTCTGCTGCTGATGTGTGTTTTTCTTGTTTGCTTCCCTGCTGGTTCTGAGACCCGCTCGTGGGATTAGAACAATATTACCTGTCAGTTGTTTGTCTCTCTGTACCACAGAGGGTGCCAAAAAGTGTGCACACATTTTAAGAAAGGAAAAAACGGGGTTAACGTCGTAATAGTCTACATACACCGATAACAAAAGATGAATGCAGGTCACGTTGAGCAGCTCCTATAATTGCAGAAGTCAAATGTGACGTGAGGGTGACAAATGTCATACAGGTCTTTCTTTCCATTCTCACACTGTGTATACATTTTTGGCACCCTCTGCACACACAGACCTATGTACATATACACAGATCTCATGCTATCTAATCATATATATGCACACATGTATAAGGATTTCAAAAAGAATTGTTTTTAGAGGCAAGATGGTAGAGTTGAAACCCAGTTCTGCCAGGAAATTGCTGATTACTATGAAGAATGAAGAATGTGTTTGTTGCCAGTTAAGTATTTACTAAAGCTTAGAGCTAAGTGAATGGCTTGGCCACCTCTACTAGACTTTGTCCAACATATAGATATATGATGCCCAAGGGCTGTGCTCAGCTCTATGCAGAGCGTGTAGGGGCTGCGAAGGGCCCGTGTGCTGTCCCCCAGGATCTCCATCCTCTCTGCATCTGGCCCACCCCATCTAGGGGTGGAGACTTGCAGCTGGGGTCAGGGTGTGGCCATGGTTTGTAGCAGTTACCGGCTTCTCCAGCCCATCCAGTGAGGAGCTTCTGATCTCCTCCTGCCCAAATGTTAAGCCACAAAGTTAACATGGCTGGAGGACTCACCTGCCTCTGTCGCTGTCTTCACCCCACATGCTGCCAGATGAGTACATGGGGCGAGACCGCCTGTCCCCAGACTTCTATGAAGAGTCAGAGACCGACCCTGGAGCTGAGGAGCCCCAGGCCCGCATCTTTGTGGCTCTCTTCGATTATGACCCGCTCACCATGTCCCCGAACCCAGATGCTGCAGAAGAGGAGCTTCCCTTCAAAGAAGGACAGATCATCAAGGTGGGCAGGAAGGGGCTGCAGCTCCAGTGTCCAAGGGGTCTGGGCTTGGCGGGGCAGAGCCTGCTGACAAAGGCCAGCTCAAACATCCTGGGTCTGGAGGCTGCCCAGGGCCTCTGCCTCATGGGTGTCACTGCCCCAGAGTCTGCTCATCTGCTGGAAGAGGCAGTTTTTTTGCCCTGTTAGCTTTATAGAGTGGGTGCACACACATGTGCACACAGATACGCCTAAATATGTCCTGTGCACTGTAGATTCTATTAGATCCTGTGTTAAGAAAAATACTACAGGCTCCGAATTTTTTTCTTTTTTCTTTTTTTTTTTTTGACCAGGGCCAGGTTTGAACCCACCACTTCTGGTATATGGAGCCTGCACCCTACTCCTTTGAGCCCAAGGCTCTGAATTTTGTCAATTGCATAAGACCAAAACTGCAGGGAAGGAGGAAGAGGGGAGGGAGTAAGCTTTCATGGCCAAAGGCTGGGGCTGCCACACCGCAGAGCCTGACAGAACAGTGAGGAGACACACAGGCTCCAAGTAGGGAAATGGGAGAGAGAGGGCTGCTCAGTAGGAGGAGGGAAAGGGGCCTTGATCCCTACGTTTGCAACCTCAGAAAGGGTCTAGATGACTAGGGTGTGACAGTGGTCAGAGTACCTGACATGGGCACCAGCTTGTCACAGAGCCATTTCAGGCAGACAGAGGCACTGCCACCTGCAGCTGACTCAGCATGAATTCCAGCACTCGAATCCTCCAAGCCAGCCTGATGGGAGGCTCAGCGAGTTGCCCCAGCCCTGGATGAAGCGCTGGCTCTTGAGTGGGGCTCACGTATCCACACCCACAGCATGCCAGTGATCAATCTGTGGTATTCTTCAAGTATATTTCTGACTGTGCATGATTCCACTGTAAGTAGGGCTGATGTATTTCTGAACCAACATTGTAATATGTTTTGTTTTTTCCCCCCATGGCTCTAGGTTTATGGTGATAAAGATGCTGATGGGTTCTACCGCGGGGAAACCTGTGCCCGGACAGGCCTTATTCCTTGTAACATGGTCTCTGAAATTCAAGCTGATGATGAGGAGATGATGGATCAGCTTCTTAGACAAGGCTTTCTCCCTCTGAATACACCTGTGGAGAAGATAGGTAAGAGCAAAGCACTGCACAGCCTTTGTTGATGCACATCACAGCACAAACACACCAGTGGCTCGGAGCAGGAGGCTGCAATGAGGAGACTCCAATTTGCATGCGAAAATTAGCCACTGATTTTTTTTAGGCAAAAGCCACTTTACAAACCGGGATTGAAACAGTCCTGCATGATTTAGGGACACATAGACGTCTAAATATTTGGGAAAACACAGATGATCTTCTAATGAGAGATGCAGTACACCCTTCCTTACTAGAAGTCTACCACATCCAGAAAACAAATGATTAGCTGCTTTTTGGTTATATGCTTTGAATTGAGTAAGTTTCAAAGGAAGATGGGGTAGTGCTATGCCTTTCATTCTTCAGGTGACTTTTGCTTATCTAAAAAGGCACACATACTCTTCACCCTTTAATTTGGATAGATGCTAAGCTCCTTCATTTATCCTGAACCACTCTGCTAGCACCAGTGAGAAAACAGAACAATGACTTTTAAGAAACATGACGTTTGTGATCTTTTGTTTCCTAAGTGCAATCTACTCATTAAAAATTTATAAATAGCTGTAGAGAGAAAGATCAGTTCTGTGTTATTCATATTTAAGGTTTCATATTTCAAACAATTGGATTAACTTCTAAGTCAGATTTCTAAGGCAAACTTCAATAGTTTAGAGCATATACATAATTTTAAGGATATTCACAAATAAAACATTTCAGTCTTTTTGGTGTTACTAAACACATTGTCTCAAGATGAAAGGCACATCTCGTCAAGGTTTAATGTGGCTATATTATACCCTGAAGTCCACAAGACTGAAGATCTCTAAGCCCCTTTTCCAGCTCCTCCTCGGGCTGATGAGCTCATTCCTCATGTCAACTGTGGCTATTTCAGAGGGAGAAGGGCTCTGTACACCACAGATGAGGGAGGCAGACCAGCTTTCTGTCATCAATTAGATTAAATGTCCTTTTATTCCATGCTATTTTTTCTATTAATAAACGTGGCTAGTCAAAGGAAGTAGGCCTAGATATCTACTTGCTGCTGCATTCTCAGGAAACCACCCTTAGTGGTGAAGGCTGAACACTGTCGTCCTAAGACAACTACGCACAAGCATCAGGCCTTCCTATTCCCTTCCAGTACCACAGTGGAGATCAGAACCAGTGCGATATGGTAAGAGGGAGGAATACACAGTATACAGACTGGAAAGGAAGAAATAAGACCTTTTCTATTCATAGATGACTTGGAAATCTACTTCGGAAAGTTCAAAGAATCTCACAGAACAAAAAACTCTTAGAACTAGGGGCTCCTAGAAGCAAGTCATAACAACGTTGATGGACGCAAGATCAATATACGAAAGTCATCAATTGTGTTTCCACACGTTAGCTGTGGAAATCTTGAAATTTTTAAGGGTAGTGTTATATATAGTAATGCAACAAAACGTGAAATAGTTAGTGTTAATTAGAACATAACGTGTGCAGGATCTGTGTGCTAAAAACTGCAGGGCACTAATGAACACCAAAATAAATGGAGAGAGATCATGTCCGTGGTCTTAATATTGTTATTAGGTCAGATACCCCTAAATGGACCTATAGATTCATGAAATCACAGTGAAAATCTGTGCAGAGATTTATAGAGAGCTGATAAGCAATTTTTATAATTTACATGGAAAGGCAAAGGAACTAGAGAATAACTGAATAACCAAAACAATTTTTTAAAAATCTTGGAAGACTCATATAACTTCAAGTATACTACAGAGGTACACTTATCAAAGCAGTTTGGTATTGAAGAAAAGATGGAAACATAGGTCAGTGGATCAAGTCCAGACACAGACCAACACAGGTAGAGTCAGCTGATTTTTGATTAAGTTCAATGGAGAGAGGATAGTCTTCTCAATCATTGGTGCTGGAATTATTGACTATCCATATGTCAAAAATGAACCTCAAGCTATACTCTATCCATATTAAAAACTTAATTTTTAAACTTAGAACAGTGCTCCATTTTAAGACTATAAAACTTCTAGAAGAAAACACAAGAGAAAAACTTAACAACTGGGCAAAGATTTCTTTGGATAAGATATTGAAACACGATAGATAAAACAGCCAATTTTAAGGTTTCATCAAAATACACAAAGAACTTTCATCAACAAGAAAACAGCCCAATAACCACGTGGTCAAAAGATCTGAAGAGGCCGTTCACCAAAGAAGATACGTGGATGGCACATAAGGACAGGAAAAGATGCTCAGCAGCATTAGTGAATTCAAACTGCCACCTGAAAGCAACCCACACCCACTAGAATCTGGCTAAAATCGAAACTACTGGTCATCCCAAGTCTGGGCAAGAAAGTGTACGAACTGCATCTCTCCTGCACTGCTGGCATGTGTAAAAGGGTACGGGCACTTTGCAAACGGTCAGGCAGTTTCTGAGAAAGCTAAACGTACGGTGCAACCTGACGGTTCTGCCTCTGTGTGCTTACCTGCAAGAAGTGAAAAGCTGCGTGTGACTATTCTAGTGGTTTGACAATCACTAGAGACTGGAAACAGCTCCAGTGCTTTCAGGCATTGACAGAGGACAGAATTGCGCTGCAGTAGGGCGTGACTGTGGTGGGAACAGCAACCCTGCTGCATGCAGCAGTGCGGGCGACCTTGTGTATCACACAGATGAGTGGAGCTGCTCTCAAAATGCTGTATTCTGTGTGATTCCACTTAAACAGTATTCTGGAAAGGACTGGAGTGACTACAGTGCACGATGACTGTTATCAGTCTTGACTATTTTGGGGTCACAGGGCCATGTATATTTGCCACACCTTGCAGAACCATATGCTAGTGAACGTGAATTGCACTGGGTGTAAGTTCTACCACAGTAAGAAGTACACATACATTCTTATGCTGCCCTTTGAAATTCATGCATGTAGCATTCTGGTCATGCTACCAATGCTTAGACGCATTGCATTTAGCCTCTGGAATAATGCCGTACTTTGTTTCAAGGAAGCATGCATGTGTGGGTCCTACACTGGCATATTCGCCTCCTCTAAGCTAAAGCTCTTAACCTGAACCCAGTGGTGGGATCATCTCTAGAACTTTGCATGTTTACATAACTGGACCCTATACCTGCTGCAAACCACTGAAAAGCCACATACCTAACTTTAGTTGCCTTAAGATACCTGCCTTTGATAGCTTTTGTTTGTTTGTTTGGCTCTCCCAAATTAAATGTAAGCAAAACGTGGCTATGTTTAGAAGAAACATGGAAGAGCCATCTTTCCCCTGGACACCAGTCTTCACAACCCCAGCAACAGAGGGTTCTGTCATTTGGGCCACACCCACAGTGCCTCACCGATCCCGTTGTCCACGCTAAATAGCTCACGTTTTCCGAGAGTATTCCCATGCCGTGTGTGAGGCTCTCGGGCTTGACAGGGCCTAGGGCAGTTCCTCTGTGGCCCTTTTGTGCTTTCTGAGTATAATGAGACAATGCCCGTGGTGCCATCTGTGGCAGAGCCAGGTCAGATGATGGAAGCGCAGTGAATGTCTGAGTGGCATCTTCCCATGCCACTCATAAAGCCACCATGAAAGGACATACAGGACACTGTGAAAGGCATCATTGAAGCAAGGAGAGCAGGTGTCCTCCTTTATGTCCTTCTGATGACAGTGCCATGTGCCTGTGCTCTGGCGGAGAATGACTTGGCTATGTGGCATCATCACAGTTACATGGGCAGGCACTTTTCAGGCTGTGTTTGGGGGACTTCCTGGAGTAAGCCACAGCCTTGGCCTCTCTTGGCCGCAGGCACCTGCACTGGCTCGAACCATCCAGTTCAGTCTTGAGAGAATCCTGTGTCATCTGAGTCTCTGGTCAGTGGACACCCTGGAGAAAGGATGTGCTCTTGTTTCTGTGAAGACCATATTAGAGCAAGAGTGTAAGGGTGCAGGGTCCCGGATCCCTGGCATGAGGCAGACACGCTTTCTGAGGACTGTGCCCAGGAACGTGGGTCTGTCAGATGACGATAGGTCTTAGTCACATTGGCCCAGTATGGCAGTGGACGCTGCTAATTTGGGAATAACTTTATGATGGCTTTCTTGTCCCTTGTGACTTGTGCAGAGAGAAGCAGAAGGAGTGGCAGGCATCACACGGTGTCCACACGGAGAATGGTGGCTCTGTATGACTATGACCCCAGGGAAAGCTCACCCAATGTGGATGTCGAGGTAACAGCCAAATATTCCTTCCCTGCTACCCGGGACCACACCCCGCGCCTGCACTGGCAGGGCTGCTCGCGGGCGCCGTGCAGACACCAGGCCCCTTCACCCTCTCTTCCTTCCTCTTTGAGGCACCTGGGGAGGGGCTACCAAACCAACAAATGGCCAGTGTGAGACTGCCAAGAGGACAGGAGGGGCCAGATTTTCTCAAACTGTTACAGAAAGAGCAATCTGTGACCTGTTTCATGGGGATGGCACTATAGGGTCATCTCTAGAAGAGGCAGAAGCCAGGTGGCCAGTGAAGGAAAGCACAGCAGTAGGCCCCGGTATTAGAAGAAAAGTGGAGAGGACAGTGCTGATGTGTGAGGTGCATGTGGCCCGGTCCTGCTGGGGCTCCCTGGCTATATGTGACTGAGAGTCTCATTTCTGTCTTCAGACACGAGAGGAGAGGGTTTCCCTCTGGGGGCTATCTGCCTAGATACTCTCGGACTTTCTCATTTTTGTGTTTAAAAAAATCCTTTTTTTAAAAAAAGTATGCTGTACTAGATTTCTGTTTCCATGTTCTACTCTGTAACTGTGGACCACAATGTGCTTGGACAGTCTGGATCTTGAGGGCAGGAGTCTGATTTAACATCATGCCCCTGCCTTGAGGCTGGTGCCTGGCACAGATAGACAATAATTGAGGTGACTTCTTAATACTCAGTGAAAGGATCCTTATATAATGGTCCTCTTTTCTGATGTTCCAGCTGTTTAAAGTTAACTCTTTCACTAGTTTTAAAAGTGTATTACCTGGCTCAGTGCCTATAGCTCAGTGGTTACAGTGCCGGCCACGTACACCAGGGCTGGAGGTTGGAACCCAGCCCAGCCTGCTGAACAAGGACAACTACAACAAAAAGCTGGGTATTGTGGCAGGCGCCTGTAGTCCCAGCTACTTGGGAGGCTGAGGCAAGAGAATTGTTTAAGCCTAAGAGTTTGAGGTTGCTGTGAGCTGTGATGCTACAACACTCTATCAAGGGTGACATAATGAGACTCTTGTCTCAAAAAAAAAAAAAAATTAATTTTTAAAGAAAGTATTACCAATAGAAAAATGGTATGTTTTTTGTTTTTGTTTTTTTTGAGACAGTGTCTCACTCTTTTGCCCTGCATAGAGTACTGTGGTGTCTGTCAGTCAGCCTAGCTCACAGCAAACTCAAACTCTTGGGCTCAAGAGATCCTCTTGTTTCAACTTGCTGGGACTATAGGCACCCACCACCCATGCCTGGCTAGCTTTTTCTATTTTTAGTAGAAACACGGTCTCACTCTTGTTCAGGCTGCTCTTGAAACTCCTAAGCTCAAGCAATCTAGAGTGCTAGGATTACAGGTGTGAGCCACAGCACCCAGCCAGTGGTAATCTTGAATTTCAGTCAAAAATCAAAGCACCCAGCATTTTTCTTATAGATCAGTGGTTCTTAACCTTCCTAATGCCATGATGCCATGACCCTTTAATACAGTTCCTCATGTTGTGGTGACCCCCAACCATAAAATTATTTTCATTGCTCCTTCCTAACTGTAATTTTGCTACTGTTCTGAATCGTCAGGTAAATTTCTGATATGTAGGAGACCCCAAAGGGGTCATGACCCACAGGTTGAGAACTGCTGTTTTAGAGCGACATTATCGGGATTGGTACTTACTATGGCTCTATTCATAGTCTTTATTGGACTGAAAGAGTAGATTAATATCAAAATTTCTCAGATAGTAAAGGGATCACAAAAAACTTATTTTTTTTTAACTAAAAATGTATTTTTAAATAGAAATCTATAGGGGGCAGAGGTGGTTTTTTTGTTACCTGGCCACATTGCATAGTGGAGAACTCTAGGCTGTTAATATAAATCCCTCCCACCTGAATGGTGCACATTGTCCCTAATAGGTAATTTCTCATCTTGTAGCCTCTTCCCACCCTCCCTGTTCTGAGTCTCCAAGTTTTAAGTTTTTCAAACTACTTCGTATAGGAAAATAGCATTAACTTTATGTTCCATTTCTACAGGCTGAACTTACATTTTGCACAGGAGATATTATTACTGTTTTTGGTGAAATTGATGAAGATGGATTTTATTATGTAAGTTTTCAAAACATTGAGAGGCAGCATTTCATTCATTATGTGTTTTCCCCTTGTCCGTTCTCTTAATATTAACTTTGTGGTTTGCTGAAAAATGTGCTGGTCTCCACTGGGTTATATGTAATATAGAAAGACAGTAAGGTGATAGTCATTGTTCTTTGCTAATAATGGTATTTTCCAATGTGAACAAACTGTAAGCAAAATAAATGTGTTCTGATTCTTACACTTAAAAATTGCTCCCATCTAAAGATTTACAAGACAATTTAATTTTCTAGGTTTTTTTACATGTATTGCCTAGGTAAGAAATACATTTTCTTACAGGAAAAGTAAGAAATACAAGGAATTTTCTTTTAGAATTCTTATGATTTCTTATGGTTTAAGTCTTTTATCTATCTTAATTTCTGTGAGTGGTGTGAGTATCCTTCTGCATGTGGCTGTCCACTTTCCCCAGCACCATTTATTAAATGTGTCTTCCTCCCCTCAGTGTGCACTGCTGTCGTCTTTGTCAAAGGTCAGTTGTCAGTAGGTAGATGGTTTTATATTTGGGTTCTCTGTTCCGTTCCATTGGTCTATATCTTTATTTTTGTACTAATACTGTGCTGTTTTGGTTACTATGGCTTTGTAGAATAGTTCAAAATCTGTAATATGAGGCTTCTAGCTTTGTTCTTTTGGCTTAGGATTTCTTTGGCTATCTCGGCTCTCTTCTGGCTACAATCAAAGTGTAGAATTATTTTTACTAGATCCATAAAATATACCATTGGTATTCTGGTAGGGATTTCACTGAATCTGTCAGTCACTTTGGGGAGTATGGATATTTTAATAATGTTGGTTCTACTGATCCATGAGCATGGTGTCTTTCTCCATTTGTTTGCGTCATCTCCAAGTTCTTAGCATTTTGTAGTTCTCCTTTTAGAGATCTTTCACTTCCTCGGTTAAGTATTATGTATATTTCTTGGTATTCTATTTTCTTTGTAGCTATTGTGAATGGCACTGAGTCTTTGATCTGGCTCTCAGATTGACATTACTGGTGTATAGGAATGCCACGTATTTGTGTACATTGATTTTTATATCCTAAGACTTTTGCTTGCCCCCTTGGGAACACAGGGGTTAAGGATGGTGTTGAACAGCAACTGTGGTTTAGATGCTTTTAAGCCTAAGGGCTGTGACTAGGACACTCTTGCAGAATGTGATTCGTGGAGAAGTGGCTGTGCCACAGACCTGTGTGTATTCTAGTCACCACCAGCATGGGGGGAAACAGCCATATGGTCTTTGTGCCCTTCTGCCCATGCTCTAATGGTACTCTGTATGCCCAGTGCAAAGAACCATAGCACACAGTGACCTCACAGGAAACCCCGTCACACTTTCTCTTGTGAGCTAGAGCAGGCCCACCCAAGCTGGAGCCACAGGACTCAGTGTAGCTCATCTGCACAGGCTTGTTCAGTGGGAACGTGACACTGGTAGCTATCTGGGCATAATGCCACATGTGGGTTTTCATAGAACAGTCCCTAAATGCAAGCCAACCATTCCATCTGCTGCTCACCCAAAGACAGTCTTTTCCAGAGCTGGAGGGAAATCTGGCTGTGTTGGACCCACTGAGAGGGGGACCGGACATACATTCATACATCATCCTACAGTGTTTGCAATTCTTGAGAGGCGGGACTCTCCACAGGCATGTGCACAATCAAAAGCACAGATGACTGGGACAAGTCTTTTAAGTCCCCCAGCAGAGAAAGACTGGGATGGCCAAAGGTAATCAGAAATGGGATCTTTAAGGTCAAAGAAGAGTGGATGGGGCAGTGTATAGGGATTTGTGGCAAAGTCTACATAGAGTTTAGCATCTGAACCATTTTTTAAGTGTATAGTTCCCTGGCATTAAGTACATTCATCTTGTGAAACCATTGTTACTGTTCATCTCCAGAACTCTCTTATCTTCCCAAAGTAGAACTCTGAGCCCGTTAAACACTATCTATCTTCCACGTTCCCTTCTCTGGCAACCATTCTATTTTCTCTGAATCTGATACTCTGGGGACTTCATAAAAGTGAGATCCTACCATATTTATCTTTCTGTGCTTATTACTTCACTTAGCATAATGTCTTCAAGGTTCACCCATATTGTAGGGTACGTCAGAATGTTTTTCTTTTTAAGGCTGAACACTATTCTATTGTTTGTATGTAACATGTTTTATTCATTTGCCTATCAGTAAACACCTGGAATTCTTCTACCTTTTGACAATTGCAAATAACACAACTGTGAGCAAACATGTACAGGTATCTCTTTGAGACACTGCTTTTAATTCTTTGGGGTATACATTTGAAGTGGAATTGTTAGATCATATGTTAATTCTATAATTTGTTCAGGACCTATCATGCTGCTTTCTATAGCATTTGTACCATTTTACATTCCTACTAGCAGTGCACAAGGATTTCTTCACATTTTCACTGACTTATTTTTTTTCTTAATAGTTGCTAACTTGATGGTATGAGGGGGTATCATGTGATTTTGATTTGCATTTCTCTAATGATTAGTGATGCTGAGCATAGTTTCATTGCTTGTTGGCCCTCTGAATCTGTTTTTGGAAAAAAGTCTTTTTGTTGAGTAGAAGTTCTTTATATATTTTGGATAGCAACCCCTTCACTGAAGATTTGCAAATGTCTTCCAATTCTGTAGGTTGCCTTATCATTCTGTTCATTGTGTCCTTTGATGCACAGAAGTTTTTTTTTATTTTAATAATATATTTCATCAATTCACAACAGATATTTTGAAATTTCTGAAGCTGCTGCATCTTGAAATCAACAGCATCTTAAAATTAAATGATAGAATGTTTTTAATGGCATAGGAAATCAGTACATTGCATAATTGATGGATTATAGAATCAGTGAAATGCATGATTAACAAAATAATCTTCCCTACCTAGAAATGATTTGCATAAATCTAAGCATATTATGCAAGAGACTGGAATTTTTTTTAATTTTCAGATTGCATTGCTACCATTTAACTACATTTTCTTTCCTGTTTCTATGGCACAAAAATCAACTAACACAACATGACTTTTTTTCAGTAATCAGTTGTTTGAGTTTTAAACATAAACTTGGGCAAAGAGTCAAGGAGTTTAAACTGTTATGTTACTCATGCCAGATGCCACTCTCCATTGTTTTAAAAGCTCTCGGAGTGTATTTTTAGACAGCTTTTTGCTCTCATGCCTGTCTCTAGGTTTGTAGTTGCTGATATTGAGGAGCATTTTCAGATGTGCTGTAGCAGCAAATCCCCCAACAAGTCAGCCTTATATTCCTTAAAACTGTAACTTTGAATTTAAAGGAAAAAGGAAAACAAACTTCAGCCTTATATTCCTTAAAACTGTAACTTTGAATTTAAAGGAAAAAGGAAAACAAACTTCAGCCTTATATTCCTTAAAACTGTAACTTTGAATTTAAAGGAAAAAGGAAAACAAACTTCAGCCTTATATTCCTTAAAACTGTAACTTTGAATTTAAAGGAAAAAGGAAAACAAACTTTTAAATGAAGAATGCACGTTTAGAGCAAAATGTAGGAAGACAGAATTAACTGTGGGACCAAAATTTCAGTGACTTTGATTCTCTAGGGTCATCTTAATGCTACATGGGTGATTCCAAGTCCCTTTGGAAAGACAATGTGAATGAACCATGGTGAATTAGAGTGCCAAAAATAATAGCTTATTCTGGATTATTAAAACAGCTAATTCTGTGATAAAGGGTGATTTTATATCATTTATTATAAGTTTGTTTTTATCTAAATGAAATGACCAACCTAAGAGCCACAGAGTGTTTTGAATTTTAAGTTCTTCTGAATCCTGATCCTTGCTATATTGAAAAAGGGGGCTCGGCGCCTGTGGTTCAAGTGGCTAAGGCGCCAGCCACATATACCTGAGGTGGTGGGTTCGAATCCAGCCCAGGCCCACCAAAAACAACAATGATGGCTGCAACCAAAAGATAGCCGGGTATTGTGGAGGACGCCTATAGTCCCAGCTACTTGGGAGGCAGATGCAGGAGACTCGCTTGAGCCCAGGAGTTGAAGGTTGCTGTGAGATGTGATGCCACAGCACTCTACCCAGGGGGACAGCTTGAGGCTCTGTCTCAAAAAAAAAAAAAAAAAAAAAAAAAAAAAAAAAAGAAAGAGGGAAAAGAACAAGATATAACAGCAGGGCTTTTGTTTTTTAAATTTAATGTTTTTGTCAACATTGACTTGAATAATTTTATAAAACTTAGGAGACAATTTTTGAGGAATAAACAAATCACTTATAAGAAGTTACAAATCAAACATAGATATTGCATATATATAATTTTAAAGCCATCAAAAATGCTATTGATTTTGAATGAGATTATGAGTAGGATTCTAAATATCTGCTTTAATAAGTAGTTTTATGATATCTGACTATAAATGATGTTCATAGATACCTTTAGGTACCTATGGTACGTCACATACCAAGCATTTGGTACATCTTTCCAATTCTACCCTTACTGTGGACTTCCTAACATAATACGTGACACTTCTATATATTTCCTTTATTAAGTTTATAATTAAAATCATAACTGCACATTTATTGGGCACAATGTGATGATTTGATATATAATGTGGAATGCTTAAACTGATTAATATAGCCATCACCTCACTTATTTTTAGTGGTAAGACATTTAAAATTTACTCTTAATTTGTAGTACACCCTTGCATTGTGCACACTTATGTTGTCACTCTCTTGACCTTGTAAACAGAGAACCATAATCCCAGTTAGTCATCCATTTGAACTTTGGGCACTTGTGGAGTAGGTTGGGGGCTGTGGGCTTATGAGGCCCTCAGTACAGATGACCAACAGGCAGTTGGATTTATGGATCTTGACTCTAACTGGGCAGAGGCACAGATGTGTACATAAGAGGAAAGGTCTAGGACATACTCGCCTGGAGCAGTAACCTAAATAGTGAGAATGCATCCACGCATGAGGAGGAAAAAGGGTAGCAAACAGGTCAGCAGCTTTCCAACCCTCCACCCCTTGAAGATGGTTGTAATTGGTCCAGACTGGTGTGCCTGGGGGATATTTTTTAAAGGCCTGGAGTAACTCAGCCTTAAGGTCAACCAGCCTTAAGAACCACTGAGGGCCCTTGGTCAAAGCAGCACATCCCTCGGTGCCTCAGACAGAGGCCCAGGCCCCTCTTGTTGCTGAGGTCATGCTTATCATCAGGGTAGTCTAGAATACCTTCTAATCCCACCTCTTTGAATCAGAATAAATGTATCATGCATCTTTACTTTGAGCTGTATTCCCTTAGCTAAAGCAGTAAGTGGGTTTCTTGAAAAATTGTTCTTCTGACTTACTCTCGTGATTTTAGGGGGAGCTGAACGGGCAGAAAGGTCTTGTACCTTCAAACTTCCTGGAAGAAGTGCCTGACGACGTGGAAGTCTACCTTTCTGACGCTCCTTCCCACTATTCTCAAGAAGCTCCAGTGCGTTCCAAGGCAAAAAGGGTAAGCAGACCGACTTAGCTTTTTATCTCTGTCCCGCTCTGCCACACATGCTCTAACAGTCTTGACATTGATATTTTTATATCTTGGGCCGAAAAGCATATACCCTGAATTTTTTCTCTGCCCTTCTATGGGGGTTGTGCCTAAAAATTCTTAATTCTAAATCTTAAGTTTATTCATTTCACTAAAAAAAAAAAAACCCTTTGAACTCTAATCTGCCTTTATTCACAAGAGAACTTCTCATCCTACATTTTAGATACACATTTCAGTCTAAGAGTGAACAGGGGACAGCTCTTTCAGATTTGGTGGGCAAGAATGGTTATTTGCCCTCTGTTAGGATTTTAGTCCTCTTAGCAAAGATCAAAGAGCTTCCCAAGCATATTTAACTGTTAGATTACATTCATGTTTAGTATCTCATTTTTATTTTATTTCATCACTGCAAGTTTTTATATATTACATTTTTATATATATATATTTTTATTTCTTTGCTCATCTGCTTGGAAACAGAAGAAGAGTGTTCATTTCACACCTTAATCAGGCAATGTAGCCTTCACGTAAGTGAGCAACTGAAGTTACCTATAAAGATACCAACTTAAGCTACCTTAAATGGACCAATGTGGTAGACTTAAGCCTTCACTGTGGGGTTAAAAAAAGACAAAAAAAAAAAAATGAGAAAAAGAAATATGTCTCAAACAATTATTGAACCTAAAGTATTAGGATATTACTTGCTCTCAGTTGTAAAGCAACTGAATTTATAGTGAAACAATCTTTAAAAATAATTTCCTACTATTTACATTAAGAATATTTGAAAAGTGAACATTGGGAACATATTTCTTAAGAAGCTGTTTGTTACATAGAGAGTATTCCAATGTCTACTCATGATTAAAGCTGCATATTGCATTGTTAGCCACTCTTGGAAAAAGCACAACCTAAAAACTGTTTACTGGAGGAAGTTTCACTTAAAACAAAAATTCAAGATCAAGCAGATGAATAGTGAACACAGAGGATCTAGTGCTGGCTTGATCTGCCAGTGTGTGTGTTCCTTATGTGGCCTCTACCTACAGGAGAGCCATGCGCCTTCTCAAAGCACAACCATTCTGAACATGCACGAAGTTGGTGACAGACTAATTTGCTGGTGTACCAATGCAATACTAAGTTTTATGAAACATGCAGCTCCGATGATTGCACTAGTTGGAATAGCTGGTATCTTCAGGTGTACTTTGGGATGCTTTCCTAGGTGTTTTCCATTAGAATTAGACCTTGATTTTAAATCCAAGCAAGCTTGAAGCCCCTTGGCTTATATCATTTGCCTGCTGCATAATGAACACTCACATTAGCGAGCGGTTTGCTCCGGAGAGGTAAGGGAACTAGAGGAATAACGATGTGCTATAGGCTCAGGCATGTACTCAACTGCAAAAATAAGTGAGGTAAAGCCATCACTCAACATACAATCAAATTCTACCCCTCCGAAGCACTGTTTATTAAGCACTTAGAGTACACTGAAATATTGCCATGTGCTATATACACTGCGATAAATTCATTTTCAGTGAATTGGAAATAACAAGCATTCAATAAGGGCCTTTAAGCTTTCTTTGATTGTAATTAAGGTTCATTTTAGTTTTTTTTTTCTTTCAACCAGTGTGCCATCTCCAATATTTCTATAATATACTAACTCAAGAATGCACTTTAACAATATCAGGATTTTTATATAACCAAATAGTTTTCAAATACAACAAAATTCCTTTTAAGAACTTTCGCTTTTGGTCCTAATTTGTAAAGTAAGTTATTACCTCCATTTTGCCAAAAATGGCCACCCCCTTCCCCAAGACAAACTGGAAATCCAACATTTCTGGCTAGACCCTCTCTGACATGCTCTGGGAGAGGGTGTTTGCTTCTCATGGCATACTTTAAAAATTGAAAGAAGAAATGAACCACCCCATTTATCTTTCCTGGTGGGAGTCGGGACAGTGCAATGTTACCAAGTGAATTGCTGTTGTTGGCGCTCACACACTCAATAAACTGTCACAATGTACCTACTAGGTTCCTCCTGAGGGTTCAGGGACAGCAAGGAGAGCTCCATCCCCCACAGTCCATCTCCATTCGGGGTCACCTCCGTCATCTTTGGGTTCTGGTAGTCCTGGGAGAGGCAGGGAAATGTCCTCGAAAAAGAAAAAGGGGCTGCTTTCCAAAGGCAAGAAACTGCTGAAAAAGCTGGGTGCAGTGAAATGATTCATGTGCTCATGGACAACTTCCAAATCTATGTAATTTTCTTTAATTCCAAACTAGGGCTTTCATGACTCAAGTACTTCCTAAAAAAACAATCTTCTCCCCTGACATCAGTAGAGAAATGCACTTTTGCACTACCATCCACTTTAAACCAACCGCAAGAACAAAGGGGAGCGCTTGCTCCCTCTGTCACCGCTGACAATCTTCTCTTTGTCCAAGGTCTGATCTGGGAGGTGGGAGGGGATGTCTTATTAAAAACAGGGGGACAAATAGCTATTTGTAGCTCACTCCCTACCTGTAATTCCAGTCTTTGTGCATTTGTCATCCACTCTTCAAGGAATGATTTTCAACCTTTCTCCCTTTTCAAAATGCTTGCCTCATGATGCATAACTTTCACTTTAACTCTGGTCTTGAAATTCCTAGTTTAATTCGCCTTGATGTTCTGCCTTATAAATGCACAATGATTTGTACTGTCTAATAAAAAATACAGTGTATACTTTGTATGTGTTGTGCATTCAGTGGTCTTCATCCTCAACTGACACAGTGGCTTGAAATCAAGTTGTACAGGCTGTGCATTTTAAGATACTGGTTTTAGTCTCTCAAAGCAAGCCAGGCAACACACAGAAAATGTTTACTTATTCAATCATTCAAAAAAGAGAGGAAGTAACTTTGGTAAAGTACCAGTCCTCCAACTTGCCAGAAAGGTGATACACTTCATTGCTTTTAGTGTTCTATTTTGTGGCATATGGATTTCTGTTACTTTCATTATTTGTCAAAATGCCATACCCAAATACTCAGCAATGAACAGCACACATCAGGTAATCCACATAATGCATAAGCCACACCAAACACCCTCAATCTGTTCAAAATGAGTCCATACCCATCATTGGCATTTGAACAAAAGACTTACAAAGTTGCTGGCAGATGTATTTGATGGCTACTATTTTGTAATTCTTGTCCACTTGTAAATTGTTTTTACTCTTTATACATACTTTTCAGACTGCCTTTCTTTTGTAATTTATGGATGGTTTATATATGAATGACAAAGCTTTTCCCATTGTGTCTTCAAAACTATTATAAATTGTAATATAATATGTGGTTAAGCTCTGTGTGGGTGTGTGCATGTGTACAGTTAGTGTAAAATATTTTCTAGAAATAAAATTTGTTATTTTATACAATATTCTGTATGTTTGTTTTAAACACTTTTTATTATACCTGGATAACTGAATTCCTCTCATAGGTTTACAAAAATTCCATAACCTTACCATTTGGAGGAACTTTTTTTCAATAACTGACTGTTTGGGGGGTCATTTACAAACTTCTGTGAGACATTCTTGCATTATTAGTAACAGTTTGCTCAGTGGCAAGCAAAAGGTAATTAGCAATTAGTACTTCTTATGTGAGAAAAATACCATAAACACTTCCAGGGTGAATTTAAACCAAATTTGTTAAACAGTTTTCCTTTGGCAACTTTAGAATTCAAGTGAAATAAAGAGCTACACTGACTTAATAAAATACAAATTAACTTCCAACATATACTTTCTCTAAAATTCTGAAAATTGGAATTTTTTTAAAAGTAAAACCTATATGCTTATGGCAAGATGAAAATATAGTTCAAATGCAAGTATATATGAGTACAAAAATTATAATTGCTGTCATTCTTGTTGAATTATTTTTTCACCCTACTACAAAGTTGTTTTGGAGACACTGTCATAGTTCTTCAACAATAAAAAGAATCTGCAAAAGTATCCAGGACTAATGTTTCCCTAAATCTTTTGAAAATATTTGCTATTGCTTTGGATCTACTGACATTTTCATATTTGGGGCAATTTGCAAAGTGGACTATTTTTTCTCCCTTATTTAACAGATAAGCACAATTTTTTTTTGTTTTAGTATTTTTTGTACTTTTTGGCTAGGGCCGGGTTTGAACCCACCACTTCCAGTATATGGGGCCCGCACCCTACTCCTTTGAGCCACAGGTGCCGCCCAGCACAAGTTTTCTTAAACCACAGCACCTGCAGCCTGAAAAGTCCTCAAGTCACATTGAGTGGCTCCTGGCACACAGCCTTGATCTCCTCAACTGGCACCCTTTGCAGGTGATGAGCGGAACCATCAGTTTTAATGGTCAACACTTCCACCAAAACAAGTTAGGAGACTCTTCATCACCAGTGTGACTTAAGGGATTAGTCTAATAGTCAAAGTTAAGCCCAAGATGTACAAAATACTCAAAGAATCAAATGTATATTATCTTACTATGGATGGGCTTCAGCATTGCTGGCTCTGGAGCAGTCAGGGCACAGTGAATGCCTTCCTCCATTGTCCCCCACCCACCCATTTCCCAAGAGGAAATAGCAGCACTTCCTACTCAGAATGTCTTTCCCATTCTGATCCCTTTAGATGCAAGTTTCCTTCAACAACTAACAACTAAAATTCTTAGCGGAATTTATGTTCCTACGTAAATTTAAAATGGAACACTTCCCCCAAATTTTGTTTTCCAGCTTCTCATTTGAAAGTTTTCTAGTTTACTGATAACACTTTCTAAATAGTGCTTTTTACTTTTTGCTAAAAGTAGAACTCAAATCTCTTCTGTGTTCTGCCCAAGGAACTATACTGTATTTTCTTAATCTTGAAAATCATGCAAAGTTATACTCAAAAGCAATAACTTTCCAGAAACTCCTGTTGTACTTTGTCCTCTGGCCCTGAGGTATACAAAGTCTGACACTGCTGGACCTGGTTCTTGGGGAAAGTTCTGGTATATAAGTAATGCTTCTTTACAGACAAAGATAAGAATGCAATGGAAGCTTATGGGAAAAGAAACTATAAGCTATGTTTAAAATTTTATCAGTTTTTTTAAAGATATACTTTAAACACATACATACTGGTCAAATTATGTGCCTTAGCTTGCAAACTGAATATGGCAGACTCTGGGTCAGGCATCCTCAAACTGCGGCCCACCTAGGACATTTATCCAGCCTGCTGGGTGTTTTTGCCGCCGCTGCCTGTCCTGCTTAGTAGCTGACTCGTCCCCGGGCCTGTAGTCCAGCCCTCCAATGGTCTGAGGGGCAGTGTACTGGCCCCCTGTTTAAAAAGTTTGAGGACCCCTGCTCTGGGTGCTCATAGGGGCATTATAACATGTCAGTTTGTTTCTGCCACTTCTTAGAGTCCCATTCACAATAAAGAAATCATGTCTAGGGTTAAGAAACCAGGATATATAGCTTATGTTAGACAAAAATCAAAATATCTAAAAAGGAACATGAATCAAGTGTTAAAGTGAAGTTATTATGAGAATGCAAAATAAATCAACATGTAAAGTATTCCACAGATGAGGATGAGCTATGTATAAATAGTTCTGAAAAATCCAAAGTAGAGACCTTCCACTAAGGCATGTAGGAAGTACCTCTCCCATACCTTTAAAGCCTCACCCAAAAGATATCAATGATAAACGTGTAAAATATGTACATATGGCAAACATCTCAACTTCACCTGTATTACAAACTAGTAATGCAACATTTCTCAGCTTCTATGTGACCCAAAATCCAAATGTATAAAAGCTTGCTACCACAACCATGTAAGTTCCTGCCTTGGTGGTACTGCCTGTCAATACAATGTTTCTTACTCCACTAGTTGCTTGGGGGAAGCTTCAAAGTGTTCATGTTCTTTAACTGAATCTCATTTCTGGGAATCCAAGAGATATAGGCAAGGATTTAAGCATTAACACATTTATTACATTAATTATAATAGTGAAAGGTAGTAAATTAAAAATATCCATAGAGGTTTAAATAAAACTAAATAGCTATTCATTAAAACGCTAAGTGGAGAGACAACTGACATATGAAGTTGATATATAGTGAGAGAGAACAGTCTCTCCTAGCCACTTGCTTCCATGGGAAGCAGTGTCTCCACTAAGGTGGAAGGACCCCTGACACCTGTCCCACCATGTTGTGCTCAGCCAGGCTGTACCCTCAGCTCCTGGCCCTTCCTCCCCATCCTGTCACTCAAACCCACTTTGCACAACAGCTGGTGAAGTGCTGCATGGCCTCCAGGTCAGCTGTCATTCACCATGTTACAGTTCATCTCCATGTGCTTACCAGACTGATTAGAAGAAATACACATATAAATATAAATGACAAATGATAACACCTTCATCTCCTCTGTTTCCTCACTTAAAGGCCTTCAACTGGGGATGGAGTAGGCAAAGAGGACAAAGAAAGGGTTAAAGAACAACTCTAGTTTCAACAGCACTTGGCAAGCAGCTATCATCAAAATAGCTGCCTCCAATTTTCTAATAAGATACTGTGAAATTTGTTGAAATTATGTCAGCTTCTGGGAATAATCTCCACTCACAGTAAGGGAAAGGAATAATACTGAAGCCCCCCCCAAATAATCCCTACATCTGCATCACCCACACTTTGCTCTGAAGGGAGGCATTTTTCCTTCTGGAGAACCTAAGACTCAGCAGTTGCCCGAGCGCCATAAAAAAAGGAAGCCTTAAAAAAAGTATAGAAGAAATGAAAGTAATGGGTTTTTTTTTGTTTTTTTTTTTTTTTTTTAACAAGGAAGACTTTAGGCCCAAATAGTTTTACCAAATAATCCTACCAAAGACTCAGTAATCATCCCAGTCTTAAATAAATCCTTCCAGAAAATAAAAAAAGTATCTTTCAACTCATTTTAAAAGACATTCATACCTGGATGCAAAAATCAAAGACAGAAAAGAAAATTATAGGCCCATTTCATTATGCATATAGATGTAAAAACTTTAAAGTGTTAAGCAAAAGCCAAACAGCATATGAAAAAAAAGAAACAACCAAGTTAGTTTATATCAGGAATACAAGGATGGTTTAATCTTAGAAATTTTAAACTAACATGCACCACATTAACTGAAAAGGACACCTGAGACAAGATAAAAACCGTATGATCGTCTTGATATAGAAAAATTACATAATGATAAAAACCATATGATACTCTGAATACACATAAATTCCCTGTAAAAACTCTTCGAAAGCTATGAATAGAAAGAAATAGTGTTAACTCAGTAAAATTTATAAAAGTCTTGTAATAGGCATACTCTTAAATGGGGAAGTTAGAGGGATTAATTTGA